GGAGTAACGACTCCCTTTTTGTCTCATCTTCTTCTTCTTCTTCTTTTTCTTCTTTTTCTGCTTCTTCCTATATTCTGATTATTATGCGCTGTGAGCACACAACATCTTAAAAGAAGAAGAAGAAGAAGATGAGACAAAAAGGGAGTCGTTACTCCTTTCCCCATTTATTATAAACAAAGGTGTGTAAATGGAGTAGAAAGAGAGTGGAAAGGAGTTCAGCGTCCACTTGGGATAGCATAGATATTGATGGATTTATTCAATAAGAGATGCGAATCGAATTCGTTGGCGCTAAACCATAAGAATCAATAAGAAATAATAATTTTAGAAATTGAAAATACCTTGAGAATCGAACCATCGACTCGTTGATTTTGTGAAAAACAAATTGAAACATCACATCTAGTTGTATTGTTTATTTGATTTAATATTAAATTACGCTGCGTTCCCCTGTATCATTCAGGAGCAATGAACGATTTTTTGTCGATTAACAAACGAAACTTGTCCTACCCCAACGAACAACACTTACTGTTTTCATCAAAATATTGTACACTCTTTTTTTTTTTTCATTGGAAACACATCGTCTCAGGTAGATTTTTCCTCCAAAAACTATGCTAATTAACTATTTTTAAAATATTTTTGACCATACCCAAACGAAGAGAGTTTCAAATTGGAATGCGATATAACGAAGCCGCCGAATATTTAAAATAAATATATTAGCTCATAATATTTTATTTCCTGATATTGAAAATGACCAATGATCTCTTCTATCCTAAAAAGTAGTAGCGTTTCGTCAAAAGCCACACACATTCTCGTTAAGCAGAACATAATTTATGTGTGTTAAGCATGAACGACAGCGGAATAACGATAACGTACAATCCGGAAAAAATACTACCTCCGATTGTGTGTACAATAGACGGACAGACTAGAGAAGAAGGGAATAGCGATACACGAAAAAATAATATCGTCGGCGAAACAAACAGATGTGTACGAAATGAAATTACGTCACTATGATATTTTGAGCGATGTTTCAACCGAAAATCATTCGTATAATGTATATATTCATGATTTTTGTTTTGCTCTCCCCTTCCTAAAATTTGGATTTCACTGAATTTCGTTCAACGTTGAGATTATTTGTGTTTTGGCCTTCGAGCTGTCAACTACTCGCTGCCGAATATTCTGTCGCTTTGTAACGTTGCGTGATTAATTGGAAATTAGTTAAAAAAGAATTTTATTTCGAACATTAGCGAAAAAAATAACAATGGGTAAAGACAAAGAAGAAACTGAATCGCAGTATGGATTCAAGAATAAGGAAAAGGCTGAAGAAACAGTGAAACTATTGGCTGAACATGATTTAAAATATCAAAAATTGACGGTGCGTGGTCTGTTGGGTCGAGCAAAACGTGTGCTAACATGTAAGTGAGATCATTTAATCGATTTGGAAAAAAGCAAATCAGATCTTCAGTGTATTTCCTTTTGCAGTGACAAAGGCTGAAGATAAAAGAGCCAACATTCAAGCAGCTATCAAAGTGTTTGAAGATTGGACTGAGAAAAATGCAGGCTCATCAAGTAGTTCAACGAAGAGCTCAAACTCATCAGCCAAAGAAGATAAAGAGAAACCTGAAACGGTGCCAGGTCTTGGATTCAAAGACAAAGAAGCAGCTCAAAAGACTTTGAAGTAAGTAGATTCGCGGGAGACAATGCGAGATAATGTGCAACTTATTTTATTTTCCAATTAGAATTCTTAAAGGACGTGACCCAAATTACCAAAAATTGGCCGTTAAAGGTTTAATTGGGAATTCAAAGCGCGTTCTACAAGCGACGAAGAATGAAGATAAGATCAAGTCGATTAAGGAAGGTGTGCAGATACTAGAGGACTTTTTGGAAGAGTTTGATCGTGAAAATCGTGCTGCTGACAATCTGGCCTACCTACCATTTGACACTGTATCCGCATTTAATAAACCAAATAGCAAACTTGTTGCTGAATTCGTCGAAGTTTACGGTGGAAAAGCCAAGGGACGCTATGAGCATTTGCGTACGTTGTATCCAAAAGATGATGATTCCAAGAGCTGGGATATTGTTCGAAATGAACATCTCGCCAAACTCAAGAAAAAAATCAAGGAAAACAAATCGAAACTATTCAACGATAATGGTTCACCCACACAAGAACATTTGGATTTGATTTATTGGGCCTACAGTCCAAATGCAGATAAACTCAAGACAAACGCTGAAAAAACGAGCTCTCACAAGAGAAAGTCAACCAGTGACGACTCATCGGCTCCAGAAAAGAAAAGACGTTAATAAATAGCTGCGGGTTTATATTATTTTTTTTCTCTCGTATGAAATTCGTTTAACCATAACTAATACGAAAAAAAAAACAAAAACAATAAATATATCAACCAAATTAATCGTTTCAACCGTTCGTTTCAATTCGAAGACGGGCAAATTATTTATGCTAACTAAATCGAATATTTGGTGGAAGTGTGCCGTTTCGTCGTGCTGCCTCAACATTTCGGTAATAGTCGGTGAAGTCAACGTATGGGCTAATTCGAATGTTTTTATCGAAAAAATCACTGCGATTGGAGCTAGACGTTGTCGTTGAACTGTTTGTGTAGTTTGAATTGGTCGTATCCATTCTACTGCTTTGATCCGATGACGATGACATTGTGTGATTGGTCAGTACATGTTCTCGATTTATTGGATTGAATGTGACCTGAAAAAAAAACAATGCAAATTCAATCGTTCGAGCATTCGATTCTAAGGGTTAGACATGAGATTGCAATTCAAATTGCGCTTTGTGACATATTCACCCTATTTTGTTGTGGTCGAATTTCGTTTGGCATTGGATAGTTGAAATTTCGTATCATTAACGTCATATCGGGTCGACTTCTGAATTGCACATCATTCGTTCGTTGCATGTAGTGGGCCAGATGCTGTGACATAATCTTTTCGACAACGGATTGTGCGATGGCCGCAAGTGTTGGTTTGATTCGAAAACAATGCACAATGCTCTGTACCAGTTCACGATTTATATTCTGCTCTTCGTGGTTGTGCACCTCTTGAAGCGCTTTACACAGTCCAGATGACATAAGTACCAAGAATCGATGTGAATCGTCCAATGGAATTGGCCCGACAATTTCTAATCGTGACAATATCGATTCGCTGCAATTAAAAACACAAGAAAGTCAACCCATTATGGTTAAGATTTGAATTTTGATTCTGAATTGATTCGTCTACTTGCCATGCATATGTGTTCTCCTGGTTAATCTCACAGCCAGCACTCATTTGGACCGCTCGCAGAACGTTGCTGCTATCCGTTTTGCACAAAATGACACGACACTTGCCCACATTGCAAGTGTACAGTTTGTAGTTGTATATCAAAGCCAGAGCTATATGGATTCCATAGACGGTTTTCTCATCGGCAAATGACTGACCGAAATCAAAGAAGAAAAGATACAAAGATAGTTTCACAAATCAAATGGAATTCTCCTAATGTGTTCGAGAGACTTACCTGCAGAGTTGCCTGTTCATTGCTATGCCTTGTTTGGTCCATATTCTGAACTTGTTGTGTAAGACACTCGTCAATCCAATTCAAATAGTCTCTTTCGAGTGAGCCAAACGCTTGTCTACGAATTCAATTTGGATTTTATATTAATGGAGAGTTAAATACACCGATTTTATATTGATAGAGAGTTAATCTGGTCATACCGAAGTACATCTTTCACATCTTCATGTGCGCTATCGTTTAACTGTCCAAAAAGAATTTCGGCCGCAAGTTTTTCTTCAGCGAATTTTGAAAAACCATTCCCAGAACAGATGACATACAGCGACCTAGTAAATGGATGGAGAATATAGCTATAAAAATTAAAACAAAGCCCAAAGAGATGCAAAAGAGGGAGCTATTGAACTACCAAATAGAAAAGAATGAACAATATCGATAACGAATAGTGCAAATATTTACATGCGATCGGATTGTTGACACTGAAAACTGTTATCATATGATATATGGTGTTCACCTGCTGTGCTCCCATTTTCATCGTACAATTGATTCGTTGCCGTGCCTGTTCCAGTCGAATTACAAATGGGCAGTCCGTCAGTCAGCGATTTGGCTTGTATATCAATATTTTCCGCACGCATTTTCTACTCGATTTTCAAAATTTCAACAACACAAACAGCATAGGAATAGTTAGTTATCCCGATTTGACAACAAATAAGCTACACAGAGAGTGCTTTCAACGACAGAATACACTATACGAAAAATGACATTTGGTTCACACACGCAACTGTTGTGACGTACTTTACATCATCGATTAATTCGATCATTACAAGAGTCTTGTATTACCTTGAGTTGTGTTTCCTTCAACAAATCTCAACGTTCCAGAATGGATGAATTTTTCCATTCGATGCAACAAACCTTTTTTACATCAATGCCATTGTAATAATTATTTTTTCTGATAAAAATCAGGTCCAAAAGCAGGCTGAATTTTTGTTTTGTTTTGTTTCGAACATTCATCGCTACTGCATTCAAGATAAGCGCTTACATGTGGCAACACATCGCCCAGCAGCGACAACCCGAAAGTTCTGTCGACCAAAACAAAATACTTCAACATTACAGTGAACAGATTTATTGTTTCTGTAACACGTAAAACATACAATACACTTTCCAGTTTTGCTATTTGGAATTCAATTTTGATGTATTGAATTTTCGTGTAATGACTGCTAAATGGTGAAATAAAGTGTGAAAAATAATCGGAAAATACGATTGAATTGGTTTGCGACGGTCAAAAGTCAAGTGGCTATTCGGTTTTATTTTTCGTCATCGTTTTGTGTTGCATCAAAAATGAAAGAGAGAAAAAAGGTTGATGGAGTGTAAACATGGCTGACATTTGGATTGTTCGATATTTATTGTGAAGCAAGAAGAGAGCAAGAGCAAAAAAAACGAAACACACACGAAAATTTGTGAAAAATACACGGAAACGAGCGCATTAATCCATTTTTATTCGACTTCTGTTCAGTTTTTGTTCACTTTGGTTTCGAATAAAAAAAAGAAATATATGTGACTAAAATGGATCCAAGTATGTATGATTGGATAGAATTTCGAGCACAGGCCCAGTAAACATGCAGAAATCACTTATTGAGAGAGAGAGAGAGATATGGGTGTTGGTACTGAAAACAACATGCATATATGTACATGTAGCAAAAGAGCATATCCAATTAAATTTGGGTCAGAAACGTCAATATTCATAGATTGATGCAGAGAAAAGCAAAAGTGACTACAATATTTTTTTCTATTCATTTTACGTTCGTATAACAACCCAACCAAAGTATACGCAATTATCGTTTTACAATCGAATTAAAGTGTATAAACGTTGTTCTTTTAGTTTTGTTGTCACTCTACCTCTCTCTCTCTCTCTCTCTCTCGCCAAAACAAATGAAAAAAAAAGAAATAATGAACGGGCAATAGGTGTTTTTCTGTATTGTTTGCGCTGTGCGTATGTGATTTGTTTGGTGGTGGCGTTGTTGTTGTTCTTTTTTTCAATAAATTTTCTTTCGTTGTTATTGATGTGGTGTTTGGCTGATGTTGTGCCTATATTGGCCCCTATCAAGTAGAAGAGAAAACCAAAGCAAGTCGAACTGAATGGATGGTTTTTTCGTTTGCAGGCTCGCTATTTGAGATATGAACGCTGGTCTATGGAGCTGTATATTGCCTTGTGGTTTTTATTGGTGTGATAATAAAGAGAGGCCACGTATGACAGATAGTACAATGGGTGTGAGCGCATCAACAGCTGATTGTCCTGCTACAAGTAACCCAATCTCATCGACGTCTGGTGGTGTTTATATCCGTGATCAACGTCGAAAAAAAGTGACTGGTTTCGCAACGCTTAAAAAGAAATTCATTCGCCGTCGACGGTCGTCAAAGGCATGCGATCATGGGCGAGTTTTACGTGATTTTTTATCCGATTGGAGTTCCATTGAATTGGCATCATTATTAGAAGAATACGAAGCATTGGCCGCGCTGAAGGATTTATCGGTACAAGCAGAGTTGGCACGTCCGCCAGCTGCAACCTTTAAACAGGATCTTTCGGCTCTATATGATTTTAAATATTGCACAGACTGTGATTTGGTATTTCGGGGAAGCGTGTTTCCCGTGCATCGAGCCCTGTTGTCGGTTCGATGTCCATATTTTCGTGATTTATTGGCCGGCTGTCCGGGATTTGGTGCGCGCATCTGCTTAGAACTCCGTTCATCACCCGTCGACACACCACTGTTTTCGTCACTTCTGCGATATTTGTACACGGGCGATCTATGCTCGCACGATCCATCGATTGATGTGAATTTATTGCGTCGGCTGGGCGAAGATTTTGGCACACCAAATCCACTTGAACATGATTTACGATACCTGCTAGAAACTGGTGATTATGCGGACGCGGCACTTGTCTTTACAGCTGAAGGATCTGATTACCATCGGCCCGATTCTGGTAGTTCAGAGTACGGCTTTCGACCAAAACTAGAGCTGCCATGTCACAAAGCAATACTTAGTGCGCGTTCACCATTTTTTCGAAATTTAATTCTACGTCGCACCCGCAACGATGAGGATCAAGAGCGATCGCTGCACGTACCGACTAGAATTGTGCTTGATGAGACTGTTATACCAAAACGATATGCTCGAGTTTTACTGCATGCTATTTATCTCGATACCGTAGATTTATCATTAATTTTGCGTGGCAACGGTTGTGGCAACAGTGCTGGCAGCCTGGGCGAAGTGCAAGCGTTGACACACACCGGCCGAACGCGACCGACACCACTCGAAGAAGCGATGGAATTGTATCAGATCGGTAGATTTTTGGAATTAGACATTTTGTCACAAGGGTGCGAAGACTTGATACTCGAATGGCTAACATTGGAAACATTGCCACAGGTGTTGAAATGGGGCAGTCAACCGCATGGTTCGGCATGGGTGTATCGACAGTCGTGTCACTTTTTACGCGAAGAATTTTCATCGGTGATCGCATCGCCGGTTTTGCATCAACTCGACAAGTCCCAGTTGATCAACGCACTACAGAGTAGTTTCTTGCAAGCATCCGAACTGGAGGTACTGCAAACCGTGTTGAAATGGGGCGAACACGAGCTAATCAGGCGAATGGAAGATCGAGAACCAAACCTATTGAGTCATACGGCACATTCGGTGACACGAAAAGGAATAAAGAAACGGGATTTGAGTGACATTGAATTGCGAGAGATTTTATCCGATCTGTTGCCATTAGTTCGAATGGACCATGTCTTGCCGCCAAACAGTGAAGTATTGAATCAGGCAATTCGGCGTGGTTTGGTTAGCACACCACCGTCGCACATGATCGGCGATGAACGGGAAAATTTCCGGGTGAATGCGTGGATTCGTGGCGGGAAGAATCATGGACTCTTTGTTCGGCCGCGCTTATTCATGCCTTACTACGAGGAAGTGAAAACGTTGCTAGAAGATCCAGCCACATCACAACAAATTGACGTTTTCCGAATGCGACGCAGTCGACATTTGCCCGATATTCCCGATACATTGTACATGGTTTCACGTTTGGGCACCGATGGCGCACCGGCCGACATTGTGACCGCATCACTGCCCGCACCCGATCCCAACACTATGATGGCGATGTCAAAGCGAGAGCAAAAACTGCGCAGTTCACCGAGTTGTCAGCGAGCATTAACGCTTCCACTATCCTCTAGGCAGGAAATCAGTCGGCAAATTCGGTTGCGTGTGGTGCGAGAATTTAATTTGCCCGATGGAGTGGCCGATCTCTTGGAAAATACATCATGCTACTGTGCCGATGATGAAACCAACATCAACACAGCCCAATCCACGGAAAATATCCATCATGGAGGTATGGAATGGCATAGCATGTGTTGATTTTTGAACACTTACCTTTAATTAATTGAAAAACACAATGATTATTATACTGAAAAATTGAATTTTTATTCTAGAAAATCATCCAATGGACGATGAAGACGAAACTACACCGCCACCATCGCCTGCGATGCAAAATGCTACCGAAACGAGTACGGCGCAGTCGTTAAGCTCCTGTTATGACGGTAACTTAACGTTCCCACGACAACAGCACGGCCAAAACTATGGCCATCCAATGGGTGGTGGTTCAAGCAGCGTACGTCGTCATGATTTGCCCGCTCTGATAACCGAAGGTGATAGCATGATGTATCGCATGCCTGGCGAAAATGAGGGCGCATCATGTTCTGAGAGTCATCATTTGTCTGAAATTATGCCAGATGTTGCAATGGCCACTGCCTCCTTAGGACACCTACAGCTAAACGAACCACCTGAAAGCTTACAACTCGATCTTGGCGATGGTTCGAGCCATGGCATAATGGGTGCAGCTGGTGTGGGACATCACAGTATGCAGGTAAAACACTCGACACCTGCGTACATCAATGTGCGATCTGTAGCTATTGTTCGGGAAATTGTAAATTTTCCATTTTCTTTGTGTGTGTCATTTCCAGCATCACCACATTTTGACGCCACAAGCTGGAACCATTCACCACTATATCAGACGACCAACATCTCCTTCACCATACGTAATTCATCGCCAAAGTCCGGCATCTAGTTCATATCATTCGATTCCGCCAAGATTTTTATAGAAACTCAGAGTCTCTTCTTCTTTGCTATGCCTTTGATGGGAGAGCGACGATCAGAGCGACAAAATAAATTTGAAACTGAACATGATACGAAACCAAAATGCGATGGTAAGCAGAATGTATAATAAGTAGCTTCTAACCAAAATGGGGGCTTTTCAAACAAAAATTAAGAACAATGATTTGTCAAAAAGAAGAAGAAGAAAAAAACAACACACAGAATTTAACCAAATCTTTACGTCCCATTGTCACATCGTCTGGTATAAATGTTTAGTTAGTGTTGTAATTGCCATTGATTTTCAAAATGAATTCATCTGTTCATTGCAAATGATTTTCAATCTAAACTCATAGTTGTGTTCGTGTCCAAATTAGCAATTTTGCCGATGAACTCGATTTTTATACCGAACGAGCGATTAGGAGAAGGACAGACATATAAAATTTGTTTTGTTTATTTTCCTGTGTATGTGCGATTGTGATGTTGATAAATTCTCATGAAAGAAAAAATTTAAAAAAAATAATGTGCAAATCAATCAAATTTAATTTGATAATGATAGAAGACTTTTCACTCTCTTTGTATATACTAGTTTCGCGTTGTATTTTTTTTTCGCCGATACACATTTATATATAGATATATCTTTTTTTTTCATTATTCACCACATTTATAATTTTCGACTTTTAGACATTTTTTGTTTGTTTTAAATTTTAAGTTTGTTCATCGGCGACACTTGATTGATTTAATCCAAATAGAAGAAAATGTGCATGTGTCTCAGTATCGCTAAAGAACAATTGAAATGATTTCGAGTACTTTGTCAAAACTCTTTTTTTTTAATCTCTTAATTTTGAATGTGATAGAAACAAATTCAATGCACAGAAGACAATGTGTTGTAAGTACAGAATGTAGAAATTCACCGTACCCGAATTACATACACACAGCCATTGTTAGTAAAACATGGAAAAGAGGGAAATATTTCGGGAAATTGCATTCATTTGAAATGAAAGAGAAAATGTTACTGATGACGGCCCAATATCTGGCGCATCGGACAGAAATACTCTTGAAGGAGAGAAGAGATAATGGAGTGACTGAGTGATTGAAGTTTTAGTCATTTTCATTCAAATTTTGCATATATAACAATATAACAAGACATTTGAATGGGCAAGCGGAATAATGAAACGTAATTCTGTTTTTAAATAAAGTGCCTCTGAGAAAATTTTGCAGTAAAAAAGCCCCACAAAAATATTGTCTGATAAAAATTTGTATGAAAATCTTATTCAGACAATATTTTTGTGGGGCTTTTTTACTGCAAAATTTTCTCAGAGGCACTTCATTTAAAAACAGAATTACGTTTCATTATTCCGCTTGCCCATTCATTTAACTGTGTTGTTTTTGTTCTGTTTGTTGCAAAAACCATTGTATACATATTTTAATTGAAATATCCAGTCAACTTGAACATTTTAAGCAAGACTAACAAAGCCATATTTCAAATTGAATATATGTACACAGGGTTTTATTTTTGTTTCTTTGCAAAAATGTCGCAAAAGTTTAGTCAACATCATATAATACGCAACTAATTTGAACAGATAAAATTTACTCCAATAAAATAAACCAAAAATCATGTGCAGAACATTATCCATACCCAAGCATTCTCCCTCTGCACACTCTCAATTCCGCTGTTATTTTCTATTTGCTCACAATTTATTGATCCTTCATGAGAACGAACGTTCAATCTCTGTGAAATGATCCAATCCAATCGACAATTTTAATTCTCATGAAGCATCATTATGTTCCACAACTGACTCAATTCCAACGCGTCAAGAGCATTAATACGAAATGGAAATAAAATAGCGGTTTTACATTTTTCTCTAAAATCAAATACCAATATACCAATCATAAAATTCAGAAAATCGATTATACAGAAAACGCCATTGATGGTTTTTATTCGCTTTTTTCGTTATGCTGAAAAAATAGCAGCAAAAACAAAATAAACCAGTGTTTTCTGTTGTGTTCATGAATTCATCACGCAACAAGAGTGCAGTAAAGAAAAACGAAAATTAAATCAAGATGAAAACAATACTAAGTTTTGGCTATTGCAGCCGATCTTAGACCAAAGCGTTTACAGCATAACTGTAACCAAAATGGCGAATAAATATGTATAGACAGTCTTGGACAAGTACGACACAAGAAAACTGAGTCAATAAATATATTTTTTTATAATGAATTTAAACCAAACGCAAAAAAAGATGGTTGTTAACGTATTGTATAAAAACAAAAATGAGAAGAAAAAAAGAACAATGTTGAAAAAGATAAAGATATAAAACAGTTTCAGTTTCGAAATTCGAACACACATAATTCAGTCAGTTATTTTTATTTTGAGAATTTCCATACATAAAAAAATACATATTGAAATATGGATACTAGACGAACGAAAACTTTTTTGTTGTGCTCGTAATGGCTCTGAAATAGTTTCAGAGCTAATGTAAAGAATTAAATGACATGAATTCAAAGCGAACATCTTCATCACTCTATTGATAATTTCAGTGAAAAAAAAAGCCGATCAGATAAGAAACAACTCTTGGTTAGCAGAGAAAAAATTGCAATCGACCAAAAAGAAGATGAACGAGAAAAATGAAAAAATGTATTGGTTTGTGTCAATAGCAACTCAATTTCCTCAAAGTCAAAATAGTACGAAGTTCCCATTGCCGTAATCTCTTTTCATCCGTGCTCCCTATTTTCTTTTTAAGTTTCATCATCATCCAATATTTTTCTCTTCGTTTGACCCATTTTTCTTTAAGTGTTATGCGTTGTGATCACAAACAATATGATTTATTTATTAAATGATGTTGTCAATGAATGAACTGCCCCATTTTCGAAACAAATCGACGGCAAGTTCGAATTTATTTATTTGATGAGAAATTTTTTCCAAAAAAATTGAATAGAAACTATTTTTTAAATTATATTTTCCTCTCTTTTTTGTTGTTGCAATATACAAATACCAATGAGTGTTTTTCAAGGGGAAAATTTAGAATTCCTCCCAAATAAGCCTCATTCAAAATAGCTTCTGTCTCAAAAGAGAACCAAAAAAAAAACATTAATACAGGCACAATTTTTATTTATTTAATTAGCTAGCGATTTTTTGTTTTGTTTTTTGTTTTTTGTTTTCTTGATTTCATCTTTTCGAAACTGAGCAAAATAAAAAACAAATGCGTTGAATTTGAATGATGATGGAAAAAGATGCAATTTTTTTTTCCATTCCGTTTAAATCCAATGATTAAATATTCGATTTCTTTTGTAAATCGTTTTATGAATTTTTTTTTGTGTATGTATATTTTATCAAATTATCCTCCCATCCCCACTATCATCGACGATGATTGTTCTAAATTTATGAAGAAAAAAAATGTCTGCAAAAATATGAATCTTATATTCACTTTGCGAACAAAGGCCAATATGTTTTATTTTGGTTGGAAAAGAGCCGATTTCCTATATAGCAGAGTTGTAAATTCTCTTAATTGAATTCCTAATGTCTATTTATTGGCATGACACAATAAATTTATTTTATAAAAAAAAAATGAAGACAACAGCAAGAAAAAAAATACATAAAATTGAAAAGAATAGTGTTTAAAATTATGTATATGTTTAGAATAAGCAGACGAAAAAAGCAAAACAAATACAAAATAAAAAAAACCGCAGCAACCACAATAACAGAAGAAAAAAATGAAAACAAAATATGGAAAGAAAAACGAATTACGTTGAAGTAGTTTTTTCGAATTTTTTTTTCTTTCTTGAATTTATTCTTTTTTTTTCTTTCTGCAATTATTCGGAACAAGTTTTGCATTCAAATATAACATGCACATTATTTTACCTGAATGAAGTTGAGAGAATTTTCGATAGCTCGATAACAATTAAGAGTGGATGAGATTGACGAGATTCAAACTCGAATTAAATCAAATCGGAGAGGGTGCTGTATCTGGGAAATCGAATAGTTGAAGACAAACGAAAAACAATGACGATGACGATAAATTGAATTACTGTAAAATAATCCAATAAATTGACACTGTTTCAAAATGCCAAATAAAAAAAAAACTGGATATTCTCTTTTGAAACAATAAAGAGAAATATGGTATGATTTTGTTCTTTCGTTAAACGCTTAGAATTCTTTGATAGGCTCTTGAACTATATGCAAATTCCGTTCTCAAGACAAAAAACCAACAAACATTATTAAAAGAAAAAAAATGACGAAAAAAAAATCCAGAACAGTTCATATGCTTCGTATGTGAATCATGTGTAGTAGGAAAAAAGAAATCTCAAACGATTACTGATTGATCATTATTCATTTGAATTATAGAGAGTAAAGAAAAGAAGAGAAAACACACAAAACACATACTTATATATAAATATTAAAAAAAAAAACAACTTAATCATGTTCAAAAAACGAAGCGAGTAAAAACTGAGTTTAAGGAAAATAAAAGACGGCTAGGATAAAACTAAATGCAAACAAAGAAACAAAAAAATGCAAGAGAAAAAGAAAATAAACAACAAATTATTGCATTGGAATATACAATAGACTACTTCGTTATTTAAAACAAAAACAAATATAGAAAACGAAACACATTTTAATTCAAATAAATTAAAAGAAAAACATATATTATCGCATTTTCATTTGATAAAACTCGTTCAATGTGCACTACAGATGATAGTGCAGCCACTGAAATATTTTCGCATAATGACCTTCGTACAGTTCACTGTGCATATTGCTTTTTGGTGCTGATTCAGTGGTGGATTTTGGTGCATTTTCTGGTTTCGGCTTTGAAATTGGAGTGTGCGATTTGCTTGGTGTCCGTTCGCGTACCATTGAAATTTCGTCAAATTCAACGACCGATGTTCCTTGTTCGTCCATAATTTGATAGTGTTTTCCCAATTCATAGCGATAACCTAGCGAATCAACGAGAACGGTGTCACTGTCATCGCCGCCGCTACCGTCCTCACGTTGAATCGAATCTGAAATCGTTTTGCCTCCATCCGTATTTATCACATATGGTGTATTTGTAACTGTTTCAGTGTTGTTGTCAATATCAGAAACTGGTTTCGCCGTGGGCGATTCTGTTTTCCGCTCAACGGGAAGCAGGAAGTCAGAATTATCGCTGTATATATGCTCGTGATAGGATGCATCGTCAACTTTTAGTAAAATATAATTGAAACGTTCGAATGAATCGTTGTTGGTCTTATGTACATGTTCAACGGGTAAAATTATCTTAAGTGGTACAATGTAAGATGCATAACTCGATGATTCAATATCACCAATGCTGTCATCGATTATGCTCGTACTGATCGGTGGACTAAATTTGACGATTTCATTTTCGTGTTGTACCACATCATTGACACTATTTGGTAATTCGGTTGTTGTCTCTTGGCCATCATCATTGGACGATTGTGTTGATGCAAATTGATCCAATTGCGAAATGTTATCATCGTCATTGATAGGTGTTGCTGTTAATTCGGTTGTTATGTCAGGTGTATCGGTGGTTGTTGTTTCGGTTTCCGTTACGAAACTCTCTTCACCATCATCTCCACCATCATCGTCGTCATAATCGTCCTGAAGATGTATTCAAATGATAAATAACAATCAAACATACTTGAAAATACTTGAAACTAATACTTACGATTTGTGTACAATATCCACAAGGTCGATCGTAAATGGTCGATAGAATGGCCGCTTTTACAAATGGCTTTTGCACCGAACTATACGGATAATGGATCACATAAACGATTCGGCCGCAGCTATCGAATATGTATACCGATCGATCTTCAAGTTGCAAATATTGACTAGTTTGTGTATTGTTTAAAGCGATCACTTCCAATTTGCGGCTAGCATTTCGAATGCGCTGAGCGTTGGTCTCATTTCTGGTTATAACGATGAATCGCACACTTTGATGGCCGGCATTGTGAAATCGCGCTTCTAATTTACTCAGCAACATTGCCTGCCGCAACCATAATTGTCAGAAGAGTTTTGTTACCACGGTAATTGAATTGCGCAGTTTTAACATGTTTACTTCGTTTTTGTCATCAAAATACTCGCAAATATCAAATGTACGCGGTGTTGGCTCAGTTGTGGTAGTAGTAAGCGCAACATCACCAATCGTTGTGGTGACATTGAATCGATTTGCCCCATCGATGGCTATCGTTGGCACCGTATTGGTATCGACTGACCGGCAAATAATCTCATTTACAATAAACATAAATACAAAACACAACCGAATGCAGAACAGCATTTTTCTTCGTTAATTCGACTATTGGTATAAAATAAAATTGAAAAATTGAAAACCAATAATGCAGACTACGATAACGTTAATAGAGAACGAATGATAAGAAGAAGAAAAAACAATTGCCTTAAAATGACTTATACTTTAATCGGTGAACACAGCAAACAATGGACTGACTAATTGGATGGAAGAGAATGAAGACGGTAGCACAAGCGCGAACGTGATCATACACTGTAGAATTCCGGTGGGTGAATAGTATATTCGTCTATACGGCAACGAACGGCAGAAAACCACAACAACAATAACAACAACGAAAAAAAAATCACACATTCCGCGATAATTCGTATTCAGCGTTGACTGTTCGCTACTACCGTTTACATTTCTTTTTTCTTTTTCTGCTTTGTTTTCATACATATATGTATTATCATCATTTTGTACAAATCACACACAAACCATCGCATAAAACGTCGAATCAAAATTCGTTGAATTAAGCATTTTGTTTCTTTTTCTTTTGCGTTGCTGTTTTGTTTGTTGGTTTTTTTTCCCAGCTGGTGTGTCGATGGCTCCCCGTGCCTATGCTCACATGTTCAATGCAGTTACGGTGTATCATGTTATATTGTTTCTTCGATAATAATTCCGTTTCCATTTGGTTGAGCAGCGCAAACGATCAACCATTCCCGTTTATGTCGTACTCACTCTATTTTTATTCAAAATTACACACAGTTTGTAAACTGTATTAGTCTGAAGTCTGCGGTGTGTGTGTGAGTGTGTGTGTGTGTGTGTGGCCCAAGTAAGAGTGAAAATATTTATTTCATATCCAACAGCCATTGCTTCCTGATTTGTACCATGATCCGACCGAGAGCCGAAATGAGAACTAGTGAACGACAGAGGCAACAAACACCCACACTTGTTCGTTAAACATGCAATGCATGCTTGCAAACAATAACAACCCAAACATAATACATTGAATCCACTTCAGTTTTGATAATTGCATTTAAATCAATTTGTGTGAAGACAACCAGTGTTGCACTAACAAGTTGCAAAATGAGCATAATCGAAATAAAAATGCATTTGTTCTTGATTGGTATGTATACTTTGTGTCTTTTTTTTATTGAAACCATCCCAATCTGGGATGATATGTTTAGAGAAGTGTTTAAAATTAATAATTTTCTTGTAAAATGTTCCAGAATTCTATTGGTTTGTTGGTTTTTTCTTTGCATTTTAATACATTTAGGTAACATTGGTGAGACCCGCTTTTTTACATTAATTCAAATAATGAATGATTTATCCTTTTCCTTCGTTTTTTATTCTCTTTGGCATATGAATACATGGAACATTGGACTTTTTAAATTGTCTTGTGGCAAATTGTGTTCGATTCTTTGTACAAAAAAAAAACATATTCGTACCGACCGCGGCTATCTTAAAAAAAATTATCCCGTATTCGTTTGAATAATAAATTCGACATAATGCAGCCATATTTCTTGATGTCACTTTTTCATCAAAACGGTACTGTTTTCGGCGTTTTCTTTTGTCTCATGTAATGTGCAGTTTTTCTTTTGTCATTTCTATCAGTGTTGTTGGTGTGGTCGATTGTAAATTGGTGGAGATTTTGTTATCATGCTTCGATTTTAAATAATTTCCAATCACAATGCCCATGAATATGATAAGGCCGACTTGATAGTTTGAAATAAATTTGCGCGCACAATCGCTTGGATCGTTGATTTTCAATGAAGTTAGTTGTTGGGCAAGATGAGCACCTACCAATCCAACGGCAGTATAATATGGCCAAGTTTGATCACAGATATATCCAGACGTTAATAAACCACCCATCATTGCTGTGGAAAATGCGGTGAGCCACGCTTTGGTATTGTCACCAAATCGAAGTGCCGTCGATTTGATGCCAACGATAAGATCATCCACTTTGTCCTTTGAAAAATGAAATGGGAAAAAATCGGAATTTAGAATCACTTTGAGCTATTTGCGGATATTCGAACGGTTTGCTTGAGTTGAATCTCAACCAATGTTCTTTAAATTGAGATGCATTTTGTTGCATTAATTACCTGATGAGCGTAAATTGTGTCGTATATGATGGTCCATGAAATTCCGGCTACGTACAACGGTAGGCAGGCAGCCAAATTGATGGATCCTTGTGTGGCACACCATCCAAGCAAAGCACCATAATTGAATGTCATGCCCAATACAAACTGTGGCCAGTAGGTAATTCGTTTCATGAGCGGATAAATGGTGACCAAACCCAATGAACATGCCCCGATCACAATCGATGTCCAATTCAACTGAAGCAACACCATTAATCCCACACTCAACTGTCCGGATAAGAATACCCATGCGTCTAATGGCTTAATTTCTTTATTGACCAGTGGCCGATTTTTCGTTCGTTCCACCTTTGCGTCGATATCTTTGTCCCATAGATCATTTATCGTGCATCCGGCTCCTCGCATTATGACCGCACCACATCCGAATAGCGCCAGCGTTGTAATATCGGGCAATTCGCCGGCTGTTGCGCTCAACGCTATACTCCAACCGCATGGCCAAAATAAAAGCCACGATCCTTTTTAAAATGAATGAACACATGAAAAATCAGTCAAATATAGAAATTTCCAAAATAAAACATGACTCAAATGAATCATTTTCTTACCAATCGGTCGATCAAGTCGAATTAGTCGCTTGTATGGATCTATATTATCTCTCAGCGAAGTGAGCAATCCAGTTTTTGGGCTAATCACATGATGATGGTCACTCGCAATCGATCTTTGGAAAACGTCCAATTGTTTTCTATTACGTAAACACTGAGACAGATGATAATTGGGTTTTGTTTTTGCACATGCCTCGATGCCATGAAATTGATTATTTGTACAATTTGTGTGCGATGCAACCGATGGCAACGATGTTGACAGTAAATTTAAACGGTGGTAAGATTTTAATGCATTACACAAATTCGTTTGACGCAGTAAATTCATTTTTGCTACTTAATTGAAACAAACTCTATGACGAATCACAATTAACTTTTGCTTTTTTTCAATTAATCACATTTATCTCAATGTCATTCTATTGATAGAATTTAATTGTAGATTATGAAATGACATTGGCTCAGGTGGTGCGAATGAATGGAAACGAGCCGCTTCGAAGATTTGATTTCGCACTTCAAATCTGCATTTTATTGATGCACATCAATTGCTCATATCTCTAAAATTGTGCACACACAAGAAAAAACTAAATCAAAATAATCGAAACATGTATCTCACGAGTAGTTCTAGTGATGTTCTATTTGAGGTTAGCTTTGACATTCTGACAGTGGTGAAAATACGTTCAATGCCATTTGGTTTTGAATGATTGGCGGTTTTCAATACAATGAATTGATTCTTTCATTTTTTGTTGTTGTTACTTGCAGACGTCTGTGAGTCCATACGGGGGATTTTTTTTCAATTGGAAATTCAAGGTCGTAACCCTTGACATATTCATATTAATATGACTTTGCTAAAAAAAAGTACGAATACAAAAGCAAAACAAAGAACACACACGCACACTGAGAGACTCTCTCTCTCTCTCTCTCTCTCTTTCTCTCTCAGTGTCCGGTTCGATAAGGTATAATGAATCCGAATATATTCATTCGAACGTTTTCGCTAATCTTGATTAAAGAGACCATCGTATGATTGCAGTCAGTTCCTTTCAGTGCAATCATATAAACTAAAGAGTCATGAGAATCGCTACGATTTTGTTGTATTGCTTGATTTTTGTTCATCAATCGGTCGAAGGTTGAACTTGACCGAAAGAACACTTTTTCAAAATAAATACAATTCAGATCTAAATCAGTTTTGTTTGTTTTCTTCCGCAGATGATGAAAATCGGATTGTTAGTAACTGTCCACAAATTATCGGTCGAAAGAGATGGGGCAGTCGAACAGCCAAGAGTATAACATATCAAACAATCCCAGTGAAATATGTGATTGTGCATCATACAGTTACACCGTCATGCGAAACCAAATTGAAGTGCTCAAATATTCTGATTGGCATACAAAATTATCATATGGATGAACAAGGCGGAGAAGACATTCCATACAAGTACGGTTTCATTTTACTTTGAATCAACACAAACGTTTGAACAAAGCCTTTCATTTTAGCTTTCTAGTCAGTGATAATGATATTTACGAAGGAACTGGCTGGCACATCCGTGGTGGTCATACTTACAATTACAATTCAAATTCAACGGGAATTGCATTCATTGGATCATTCAATGGTAATGCTTCGATTCACAACGAATGATTGATTCTATTGCAAAGTCACTACGTTCATCCCAACAAACTGTTATTCTCTTTCCAACAGAAAAAATGCCAACAGCCGTTGCCATCCAAAAGACAAAGCAACTGCTAAAGTGTGGAGTGGAATCGGGTGAACTGCATCCAAACTACATCCTACTTGGTGGCAGACAAATTTATGCTACAGAAAGTCCGGGCCTGGAGCTATATGCCGATCTACAAGATTGGGAACATTGGTCATCAACACTTTAAACCGATTTGTTTAGTTTCGAAATTAAAAAAAAAACCCAAAATTTTCTATTTAATTATACATTTCGATACTGTAATTAATTTTTAGGGAATTTTTCTACCAAAATTCAATAAGTGATTGGCGTTTCAATTCAATATCGCTTGAATTTTATGTATTTTTTGCAAAAATCTGCTTAATCATCGCTAAATCATCGTCGTGTCCATTCTCCATTTTGATATCCTCCTTCAGTTTCTTTTGGGCGACTGTGTCATCGGCCGATTCAGCTTTTCGTTTTTTCGATTTTTTCGGCGATATCTGTGAACTGGTGCGATTTTCTTCCTTCTCTTGCTTTGCACGTACACTTGGCAGTGACTCTTGTTCAGACACCGTTTTCGCTTCCATCAATTTCTCTTTGATTGTTTTGCTTAGTTTAATTTTATCTTCGAATTGATGGCCCAGAAGTGGATGACGCACTTTCAAATTTTCGGGGAATATTGTGCATGGGTGGCGACCGCTCGGCGTTAATTCAACTGGCTCATCGGTATCGTCAATTTTTTGATGGAACTGCACTCGACCGACCGGTTTGATGTTCTTTATCGAAAATTGTGCATCTTTGTTTTGGAATACCACCGATAGCGTATTTTGATAATCATCTTTATCAATTTTCGTTGAATTGTATTCGATTTCATCGTCATCGGTTTTTATTGTGGACTTTTTGCTGCCCAATTTTATGGATTTCCCAATGAGTTTTTTGACATCAATCGTCGCCGGCACATCAAACAGCCAAATCTCGTCATCGTCACTGATCTCGTCGGCTGCGAAGTTTGTCGTTGTCTTTGGATTTTCGATTTGAATATGAGGGTATTTGTTGCGGTACTTTGCCAGCGAATCAGCATTTTCAAGGCGAACTGTGACATTGGCTTGATTTTTGTTGGCACTTTGATTACTTTCCTCTACCAATACTCGGGTTTCTTTCGGTTGTTTTTGTTGTTTCGCTGCGACAACATTTGATTCCGGTTGACTTTGGTCAACACTGGAACTGCTGCTACTGCTGGTTGAAATTTTTCGTGATTTCACTTTGGTCGGCGTCTTCTTTTCACGCTTCATCTTCTATTATTTACTTAAATTAAAATCGGTTTGACTTGGGATTATGATGCTGTTTTAGTCTGTTGTTTGATGAAATTACGAAACGCGTGTGAGTTCTAAGCACATGTGATGTTGATATTTACAATTGTCACTTGTTGTGACGATGGATGCGTTCAATGCGACAACAACTTCAATCGTTGAATGGCGCAAAATTCATTTGAGAATTAAAATTTTATTTATTTATAATTAAAAAAAACTTTTTCCTTATATTTGTGCCATGTTTTTCTTTTGAATTGACAGAATTCTGAAGGCTATTCATTTGTTTATTTAATGTTTTCTGTAGCATATTATTTTCTTGGTGCATTTTTGCATTTTATTATTGTAAGCTGAATAAATAATAGATGCCAAACAGGCTGTAAAGCAAACATTGGGCCAAATATTCCGCAGATCACGGGACATTTTCGAGCATAATCTATTTTCATGCACTTGACCGTCACTTATTAATTCTTACTCTGAACGTTTAAAGGAAAATGATGTTTTTGAATGAATTTTCACACTTTCTTCAGGCCAATTAATAAAATTCTAAAGAAAGTGATAGTTTGATGAAGTAATCATTACTTAGTAATGCAAAATTAAGTGAGATATTCTTGATTTTGGATCAAAAATGGATTAAATCAAAAAATTAGAAAACAACAAAACAATATCGTAGAATCTGATAACAAACGAAAGTTATGGGTATCAATTAATTTTGTCTCGAAAATATGTATGTATTTGAATTTGGACGATCTGCTTATTGAAGCCGACGATGATAAATATCTGTGAAGAATGTTATTGGGATTTTTCCTGTTTTCAACACCATTATAAATCAATGAAAAAAAATATCTTGTATGTGCCAATAATACCGCTTTCACGCAAAAATATACCAAAAAATTAGTCAAACTTGATGTTTGGGCATTGGTTCGTTCTAAATTGACTTCACGGTGTGTTTCTGCTGTCGGTACTACATCACGTTTGAATTTGATAAGTTTAAAAATCGAATCACTAGATTTTGGATTTTTAGAAGAGGTCAGTGATATTCTGAAGTTTCTTGAAATTCTCGATGTCAATTTATCACATGACAAACATTCATTTCGTTATAAGCGCCCGACCAATGAAAACTTAATATATTTTCAAAACGTAACATTTTTTTGACTATATATTAAATCATCAACAGATGTACCAGCAATACAGTGAGTTAACTTGCGCTTATGGCGTTTTCGATATTGATTATGTGTGTCATCAATTCGAAAATAATTTCACGTTTTTGAAAAAATGAATTTATATTGTTGTTCGGGCTAGTTTTGAACTAGCTGAACGTTGTTCATTGACCGATCAAACTAGAGCAATTTTCTCTGATAAATAGCAAGTGAGCAATCCATACAATAACTTTATCGAAATCAAACGCATTGAAGCTAGATGTACTATAGATTATTGATATTTTTCACATCATTCATAGTATTATTGGTTCATTTCATTAAAGCTAATTAATTAATAATTGAATCGATTAGTATGATAAGTGCCAGACGTAACGATTTTCATACAAACTGATATATCGAACGCAATGTTCAGGTACGTGGCATCTAAGATATTTTTCGTAGTTATATTGGCAACAGTTTAAGTGAAATTGCCTGCTGAATAAAATCCAGGACTCTTATTATTTATTGAATATCTGATTAGTTATTATTACTGAAATGATTATTAAATTCTATTCTATAAAAGCTGCGCAATAATTTGGACATTTTACTAATGAAATTTCATTTTTCATTTCTGAAAAATTATGTCCATGTATTGCTACAGGTTTCTTGGAACAAAATGGCAGTTGCATGTTGCAGTGCACTTGATCATTTTCAATCATATGAACTTTTCCTCTCACGGACATTGGTTATGGATTATTGTAGATATGTAGTGATTGTGTGTTTAACGCGGCCCTCAACATTTCCAGTCATAAGTACATATTTTATTACATAGTAAACTTCAAAATAATTTATATTGCACTTTTTACTTCGTTTGTTGAGTTACTTTTTGTTGTGAATTTTTTAATCAATAAATTATGTCGTGAACTACTATACCAGTTTAAAATAACATATGAATTTTTATTTCTTCTTATTCTGGTACAAATAACGAAAAATTATATTTCCGCAAACGTTTTCGGTGGACGTTCCACCATCCTCAGGCGAGTTTTCGAAACTAAACTAAATACAATAATTGTCACAATGGTTGCTAAAATCAAAATTCCAGAGAGAATGACATTAAAATCATGGCTAATGAGTGTAAACATGCGACTTTTTGTTGAAAATGTCTTCAGTATTCAATGGTTTTGAAAATTTATATAAAGACGTTTCAACTTGCGTTCTTTGGATGTTCATATTTGAACGCTTCGTTTTGTAAATATACAAATTTTCATAAGCATCCAATTTTCTTGGGTTATTGACCTCTTTTAACAAACGGAAACCTGCAAAACCATGATTGTTTTGCAACATATGATCGGCTGGAGTTGATTTTCCGTATGTTTTTTGATGAAATGGCTTGTAGTGTTCGCCATACCGTTTACAAACTGCTCTACTACACTGTCCAATGTACGGTTGGTTACAACCCGTGCATAGTGCTGCATAAATACCAGATTTATCCAGCTTATCGACTTTGTCTTTTAAATTACACAAATGGGTTTTCAATTTGTAACCCGTGCTGTTTGGCGAAAGAACAATAGAATGATTTCGTAGAATTTTTGTGAGTTTTGTTGTTAGTCCCTCAACGAAAATTCCACCTGAGTAGTAGCAATCGTCATCCTCATCAATGACATTTGTTACAGATTGGCTCAATGATGTTAATTCATTCAATTCTTTCTTTCGTTTATGTTTTTTGAGCAAGTGAATTTTTTTTTTAATTTATAAATTTACACATTTGACGCTCGATGAAAACCAAATACTTTACCATCCTTTGACTTCCAACGTAAGAATCTGTAAAATAGACGTTTTCGCAATGATTTCTTTGAAATAACAACATTTTTATTGATTGAAGAGAAATATAAATTGCATCTAAGAAAACCATTCAATTGATTAAATATTTTTACAAATTTTCATAAGTCTGACATCAATTTTTACCTCGCCCGAGAAATCGCAACAGCAGGTAGGAGTAAGTTATAAATTCGCCACGAAAAGCTTCGACATTGTTTTATTCAACTTTTTTTCAATTAACAGACTATTAGAACCAGAGGGAACTCGAAGTTCAAGTAAAAACATAAGGTGGCAATAGCTAACTGTGAGAATCGGAATTCTGCTCATGTTTATCTAAATCAGAAACATTTACAACCACTAGGCGACTAAAGACGATTGGCACCGAGAATAACACAATACATTCTGAATGAAACTATCCAATGAAAATATTTTTAAAAAAAAATCGTGCTCGTTGACGACTCTGATTGATACCTACCGATCAAACTTGAAGAATTTAGTTTTGTTTAGAGCGATGGCATATTTTTCTTTCTGCTTTGTTTTTTATTTGTATGATAAGTAACGGTCTGGTTTTAAACTAAGTCAATTTAGATTTAAACCAATTGGGGGAGAAATGAGTTTTAATGTATACTCGGTAAGAGGTTTGTAAATTTTAAGTGTTGACGAAAAAAAAACACGCGCAATTTCAATTTTCGTTAATAAAAAATGATGACTGGCAACAGTAAACAAGGTGATGAGTTATCCAGATCTTATTCAATGTTTTCGTGGTTCAGAAAGGAAGCAGGTTTCTAGAAAGAAAATAATTAAATGAGATAGCATTTTGAACGGCTAACGCGTAAATTGGCATCACACAATTTGGGGTTCTATTGACGATGTGGCACATCAAACTTTCTTTCATCTGTAATCATTGTCGAGAACGAAGCAATCATATTGTCATTGTATCATTTGTAATCACCGGCAAGTGTATATGTTCGAGAGTGATAGCTTTTTTGTTATTCGAGAACTCGGACTAATAAATCAAATCACGTGAAATGTGAAAACATCGGCATCAATCGTGCGCTTGCATCATGGTTACAGACTTTAATGCGATAACATTTATGGTAATATTCCACGCGAAACCAAAGCCCATCGCATTTCTTCCTTTTCCTCGTTGCTGTGTACAAATTTTTTTCATGTACCATTCACACTGTTCATAGCTGTTGATTTGTTTGTTTGGTTGATGTTTGCAAAATTGAGCATTGGGCAAGATTTATTGCAAAATTGTGTTTCTTGATTGTATTATATGAAAATGCAAAGCAGTAGCAATATTCGCGCGCGTAGAATAAAAAAAAAAGCTAATCAAATGGATAGCTGGCGGTCAATTGTGCGTGGTCGCACATCAAATATGCTGAACATCAATAACAACAACGACAAAGACCATATGATCGCTGTAGCTCTGGGTTTTTGGGCTATATGCACACATGATAGGTCAGTCATATGGATAAGGTATAGCATCACGATCCACACAATGAGCTAATAAGCGACAATAAAATTCAATGATCGAGTTGTTTTTTGTTTAGAACTACTTAATCCCCCCCCACACACACACACACACACACACACAAAACGTTGAACGAAAAAAATGAATTAATGACACTCGGACGAGTCCGTGTGCTGGTGCACAGAAAAAAAGTAAACAACCAATTAAAAAAAAAGTTCCATCACCAAATTATGCTTTGGTTAGGATATGAAAGAGTAAATGGTATCATAACTGGATAATTGTTGTTTGCGGCATCAGCCAGCACTATATAAATCGAGACGATCGCCCCATTCAGCACATTCAGTCTCTTATCGTAGCACGCTTAAGATATTCTTTTCGAGCTAGTTTAAATCAGCACGCATCAAACAATTTATCACCATGAAATACTTTGTAGCCGTTCTTTTATTGGCCGCTGTCGTAAGTGCAATTTTATTATTTAAGAAGAATAAATTCCAGCTGGTAGTGAAAAATTTCAAACGAATTTCTATCGATTTAATAGGTTTTTGCCGACGCTGAATGGAAAATTCAAACCGCAGAAAATTTAAATGCATACCGCCCAGAGTGTGCCAACTCACTCAGCATACCCGAAGACAAAGTGAATGAATACAAAAAATGGAATTTCCCCAACGACGAGAAGACACAGTGCTATATCAAGTGCATCTTCGGTAAAATGGGACTTTTCAACGAGAAAGATGGCTTCAATGTTGAACATTTGGTGAAACAATTGGGCCAAGGCAAAAACGAAACCATCATCCGACCAGAAGTCGTCAAGTGCGCTGACAAAAACCCACAAAAAACGAACGCCTGCCAATGGGCATACCGTGGTTTTGACTGCTTCAAGAAGGCACATTTGGATTTGGTTCAAACTAGCGTCAAGAAGAACTAAATTCCGACACCAACACCAGACTACTGTGCTTATGATGAACGAATGAACGGACTTGATCACACAATCATCTACGATAAAATTAAAAGCAGAAATCACATTATTGTGACTATTGAAAAATCATTTTTGTTATTTCTTAGAGAGAATCAATAAAAACGCAATTGCAACTGAATAACGATGGCTTTTTTCACTTTAAAGTTTTTTTTTCTCCTTTATTCTGGATAGTTTTTTGTGTGGGACACACAAGTAAGTATTAAACATCTAGTGCTAACTTTTTTGTTTCAGTTTTTTTTTTCCTTACATGCACTGAACTCTCATACGAAGACAGTGTAACAGAGAACATCAAAGACAATCAAAAGAAATCCTTCACATTTTACTCCATATTAATTTGTCGCATGGCCGCTTCGATGTGATCACCTTGCGAAGCATTGTTATCCGTGACTGTTGAATGTTTGAAGCCGTCCAAAAAGTAACACGTTCCCTCGGCATTTGTATATTCTTTTGGTAAGCAACTTGGATCGCGTGGTGTCAACTCAAATTCATAGCCGGGATGTTTAATGAGCCATCTAGAAATGCACGACAAATTGTAAATCAAAATTCAGTACTCATTGAATTAATTTCATCATTCGGCAGGGCCACTGACGTTTTTTGTAACACTTACTCTTTTGTTGTGTTGCTGATGTTGATTTTACGCTCAATGCTGTTCGATTCAAATTTGTTTGCAATGGTCACATTATGTCCAAACAAACAATAACGCGGCATCTTACGGCCGACAACTCCAGCCAAAACGGTGCCAGTGTGTATTCCAATACGCATCTGAAGTCAGATTGAATTGAATTATTGATTGAACTTAAAAAAAAAAGCTCAAAAAGTGGTTCTACGCGATTCTTACCCGAATTGGCTGGCCATCGTGAGTGATGTGCTTGGCGCATGCTTCCATCATACGAAGAGCCATCCAGGCGACTTTATGTGCATCAAATGAGCCAGGACGATGTAGACCGCTCGCAACACAATATGCATCGCCGATTGTTTCCACTTTGTATACATCAAAGTAGCCACAGGCCTCGTCAAAATCTTTGTATAACTCTTCCAACATGCTGATAACCATAAATGGAGTGGCTCGCGAGCAAATGCTCGTAAATCCAACGATGTCGCTGAATAGCATCGTTACATCTGGATAGGTTTTGGCATCAATGGTCGAGCCTAATTTTCCATCCAGAAAAATAATCCAGTTCGTAGAATAAATTTGGTTATGGGTTTCAATTTGGGAACATTTTGATTATTATCAGTGGAAGTGATGTAATTACCAAGCCACAAACTCTCTGCAATTTCCGCTGGGAATATGAGATATAATAGGCTGACATTCTTCTTTCTTTCCTTGGCAACGGCGGCGTTACCCTCTTCAATGGAATTCTTAAGCTTATCCATTCGACGCCGAAGACCATCTTGTGCTTTTGTTTGTTCACCGACTAAAATCACCTCTCTGGTAGCGTCGTGCAATGGAATGTCAGAGATGAAAAGATTGTTGCATGTCAATCCATCGAGTCCGTCAATGAATGGCGATCCAATGAAAAGTATGGAATTTGATTCTGGGCAAAATACCATTCGACCTTTGACTTCAAGTCCCTAATTTCAATGAAACAAAAGAACAATTTTATGATTTTATTTTTAATATTCGTGTAAAATCCCAGTGTATTCGAGTGGAGTATGTACCTCGGCTGCGTATTTAACGCCTGGAAGTGGTTTAAGCGAAAGAACAAATGGTGTATTGGATCGACGAATGATGTCACGGAATTTGATGGTTAAATTAGTTGGCCGTTTAAATATGACATAGGTCGTGATGAGTCTGCCATGCGTTGGCAATGAACTTTTGAACAATTTGCTAAATCCTTTTCCCATTTGAACGATTTCCAAGTCTTCGTTCATGATGAAATGCCAGGGAAAGGCTTTGCAAAATGTTGCCGGGCTCATTTTTAAATCAGTTGCCGTTAGACCAGAAATCGGAACGCTGACATCTTCTTCCACTTTTGTGATGGTTTGCTTATCTTTATCTTGCTCTGGCAAAGTGAACAAGTAGCGATAGCACTTGGTATCACCTTCAATCGGTTCGATAACAATGCTCGCATCGATGTCGTACAGAATGCGAGTCAGAGCTTTCAATGAGCCCAATAACAACCATGCAATGACTGGACGCTCTGACGTGAAAATCAATTCACCCTCATCGGCACAAATGAAATCGGTGTCAGTTTGACCATCTTCCTGTAATTTCAAAACATCGTGCACTCCCTCTAATGCACCCAAAAACTCTTGCAAATCAGCACCAAGACTGCGGAATGCACGTTCCACAATACCAGAACAGCAGGTGGCAATCAATTCTTCGCCAAGCAGCACAAGTATTTCACTTGCAGATGATTCTAGATAAACGTAATGAATATGTTTTCTTTATTGTTTTTGGCAAACGAAATGGAAAAAAAACACATTCAAAGTAGCAGCGTTAAACATGGCCTTTGTTGAGCTTACCATCCATTTTCAGTAGAATATCCTGGATATCTGCTAAATAGTCGTAATTGGGTTGATTCACACCGTCGATTTTCCTTTGGGAATAATCAATGGATTTTCGTTTAAAAAATGAATCGAATGTCAACTGAAACTGTATTGAACTATATTAATATAATTACAATTGGCTTAGGCCTGGCCATTTTCCTTGGTACTTTGATATCAATGATGTTACAGCTGTATTGACATCTTCATTCTAACAAAAGAAGAAGAAAGAAAAATGCAAAATCAGTGTGTTTGTGACGAAATTTTGTGTCTCTGTGTGTGAAACACTTGATTTTACCATTGGAGAGGTCAACAATTGTATGGCTGCTTGCAAATGAGTTAGAGTTAGTGCATCGGGAATTTCAGCAAAATCATCTTCGATACCCCAGTTGGAATTCTGTTCAACGACCACCGATGATTGTCTTCGAAGCGGATTCGAAATTGAACCTCGTGCAAATGGGCAAGTCATCCTTTATGCGTATTTAAATTCTTCTCGATTTTAAGTTTTTTCACTAGCGGAAAAAAAGGAAAAATGAAGAAAAAGGTTCACAATCAATAATACCACTTTGATACACGTCGTTTGATTCGTTGTTATTCAATGCGAAAAACTTGTATTTGCTACACACAATGACAGCACATAATAATCATAAAACGAATAATAGTTCATTAATCGATTTTCGTCATAATTTTCTATTGATTTTCCATGCAAATAAACCACTCGAACGTATTTCACTTCATTCGATTCATTCAATCGGTTGAATAAAAGCTCGAAATTTCATTAAGCTACTTGAAAATGTCGGCCAACACATTTTTTTTTCAATTTGAAAAAACACACACAATTTCAAGCATTTTATTCCAAACTTTAATTAAATTCAGATTTCTATACAAAGTACTTACGCTCAGATCATAAATAGTTTTGCATATAATTTTACTGTCATCACTTTAGCAAATGTAATTTTTCTTGTCTTTCTTTCTTTTTCTTGTTTGTCCAGTGAAAAACTCGCTCTCTCGCAATATTACTGTGTGTGTTTAAATGGATTCGTGCTTCTGTCTCATTTTCGCTCTCTTACAACGACGTACAGTTTTAAAATGGTCATGCGTACTGATGTTGTTTACAGTGAGAAAAAAAAACAACCCCAAACCAGTCAACATCATATATCATCCATCCTCTTACATCAACATTCTCCAAATTGTCTATACACAACCATCAACGCATAGTCCACAACAACACGCAATTCATTTGAACAACAACAACAACAACAATAACAGGGACAAAAAATAAATGAGCATTTGAAACATTTTTCGATCAATTGAAGCAATCAAAAGATGATTTGTCCTAGTTTCACTTTATAATCGAATTTTCCGCCAATTTCGTTTGGGTCATGCACGGATTGAATGTAATAAAAATGGCATTTATGGAATTAAATTGAATCTATCATAGTATCTGACTTATATATGGCTTTTTGTCTTAAAAACACCACGATAACAATAAAATTATCTATGCCATTTTCAATGGGACTTCTCTTAGTTTTCGATGGAGACAGTTTAATTTTCCATTCAAAACGGCTAACGAGTTTCAATTGCAAATGACTAAAACAAAGCCAGGAACAAAACAACGAATAAATTCATAACGTAATTGTTTATGCATAATTTAGTAAGCTCGTAAAATGTTGGTGTTTTTGTCTCTCATTGACGAAAAGCGGAAAATCTATTACTGTTGGTGGTCGACGGCGTCAATTTTGATATTCAAGCTAAACGCCAACGCAACCAAACTGTGGTAAGCATTGGGCATGGTAGATAATTTTAAATCAAAACATGTGACAAACAAAGTCAGTAACGAATTTCAGACAACTTTTCGAAGGAAGCAAATCATCAGTGCATCAATTCAAGTAATTTCACACGAATAAACAAACTAGTCACTGTACAAAAGAAAATCGTTGGTATGAAGAGTACAAGTGCTCGAAAACCGTCTCTTTTTTTCAGATATGGTCACAAATCTATTCCAGTTTCATATGGACTTGACATTATGTCTTTTCTCTTCAATTTTATCCATCGTTTTCTTTCGGCTATGATTCAATTCGAATGGCTCGGCGGAGAGAGTAGAGCGAAACGTTTCATAGTATATTCATATATCCTATCGGCTCTTGTATCTTGTAGTTGGCTGATGGTCAATTTTGTTTTAATAATGTATTAATATTTACGTTTTTATCATATCTATGTATAGACACGGAGCATGTACGGTGTATTTGTTGTGTGATCAATTGTGGCTTGTGTCAAAACGTTTGTTTGCTCCTTTTTTTTCTCGATCCAAGCTGTTGAAATAGTTGAAACACATTGGCGATTCCATTGGCGAAATAGATGTTTCGATTTTCGTGCGTTTTTGTTGTCTATCGGTGGGTGAACATATCATTTCATTCATCTAGAACGTTAATTTTTTCATCATGTTTTCACATGGACATTTACATTATCATACATTTATCAGGCCATTAAATGCACAAATGCACTGCTAAACATGGTAACCGACATTTTCCGACAGCAAATATTATCGATTTACAATGCATTTTAGAATTTATACAAAGAATAACATAACAACAACATGCCTTGCTGCATGATTCTGTTCCATAACATTGATGTCAATCATACTCATTGTAACTAGTTAAAATGAAAGGCAAACAGTGGTGAAATATAGTTTGGTGCGAACGTTTAAAGTGGCTGCCGGTTCGGACAGTAAAATTGGAGTATTAGCTCATTGAAATATGAAGTGTGGAAGTCCAAAGTTTCATCATGACATTTCCTTGCAAGCATTCTGAAACTTTCGTTTCTAATATGAACATTTCAGTTTCCGTTTAGGGATGAATAGTTAATTTTCTAGAGATAAACAATCATTTTTCCATATGAATATGTGTCTTATGTCTAATAACAATTGATTATTCATTAATGTATGGTGTTTATAGCATTTAAATGTGTAATATAGCAAATATGCAGTAAAATTCGATAACATTTTGATAACAGCAATTACTCTGTTATGTTATTTGGTGCGCTTGCTTTTCTTACACTCCATTATTTATAACAAAAGACATTTTAGGTGCTGCTGTGTGTTGCCAACGCGAAAAAAGTATAACAAATCGATCTAAGACACTAAATTATAAATTGTTTTCGATTTAACCTTGTGTTAAACACGTTAGTATCAATTTTCTACCAATTTTTAATGGACACAAGAGTGGTGGCAGTTTAATTTTGCCATTTACGACTTTTAAGCGGCGTAATAGCCTTTTATTTTCGATTCCTTGGTGTAACCTTAATGTGAGTGATTTTGGGTCGTTAATTATTAACATGAGGGTAATTAAAATGCTATTTCGGAAAAACGTTCAAATCGTGACCTATCCTTTGGAATATTTTCACATTGAAGTGCAATTAAATTTTTATTCGACACAATTTTTCTATATGACAAAATGACCGTTATTAAAATGCAGTTTAACAATTTCGGCAAACAATCTATTTTTCGCGATGGATAATAAGCCTATGAGCTCATGCTTGATTTGTTTGTGAATTTATAACGATGTAAAATGCTATCTACAACATGATGAATATACATTGAACATACTCAAATGGAAAAAAAAATTATTTTCACATTTCTAGCGGAAACGATGATAACCCAAAATCAGCTGTATCATTGTAAGTGGTCGTATGTGAAGAAAGAGATATAAAAAAAACAGTCACAATAACAGCAATTGCGTTGTATTACTTACAGTTGCAACAAATACAAATGTAAATAAACGAGTACTGGCAATGCGAGTGTGACCGATGAACGGGAGACAGTAAACAAACGTGATTGAGCACATCACAGTGTTGGAGATGCTGGGTAATTATAAACACCTATGTATACACTATAAGGTAGTATATTCAAATTGCAAGCTCATCTGGACGAAGACAAAAAGGGAGCGTAAAAGCAAGTATTGGTTCGGCTTGTCCGCAGTCTCATTCAATATATTTACATTGATATCCATGAACTGATTCGAATGTGTATGTGAGAGATTCAACACATTTTTGGAAACCGATTCTATTTTGAATACACGTTTCACATAGTGTTTGGTTTGCGTCGTACCAAAGGTATGTGTAATGTGTATCCATGCTGTTGGTGTATTTGCAAAAGTGCTGAGTAAACACGATAGATACGTGTGCGAATGCCGAGTTTGAGTGTGTGTGTTTGAACGCATCGCGAGTTCAGTTAATCGGTAGCTGGCTGCTTGGCGCTCGTTCATGGAACGAACGAAACAATAATAAAGAGATGCGAGTCTTTATCACACAATGCAGCAGTTGCGCGCATCTCAAAATGAGTTTCTGCAGTATCCGTAGCCAATTGTACTGCAATTTGTAGCGAATCACACTCGAAACAAATGCGAAAAACATTTGCAGCCGTAATATTGCAATACCAAGTTAAAAATTCAAGTGTTGAACCATTTTTTTTTTTTCAAAACAAATAGTCATTCCACATATAACGCTTTTGCACATTGTTTAAAATTTCAGATACAAATTTTTTTTTTACAAAACAATTCCGAAAAAAGTGGATCCAATCAATACGCAATATGACGACCAACGAAGAGCTCATCAATCTCGTAAATATTTCAATTGAAAAAAAGAAGAAAAGCTTATTTTTCTCAATGTTTGAATGGGTTTTTGTTCTTTTGTTGTTCAGATGAAAATTGCTGGACCAAAAATGGTCCCATTTTTTAAGGCAGTTTGTGTGTACTTCGTGCTGAATGCCCATAATCATAACGGCGAATGCTGGACAACAATACTCAAATGTGCTCCAATCGTTGGCCTAATGCTATTCATTGTGTTACATGGAATAAATACCAACAGCAAGTATGGCCTTCGATCATGCCTATTTTTCTCAGAATAATTGTTTTTTTTTGTGCTGTGCAATTCATTCAAGGTTTTCATATGAGCACAAGATATTGACCGCTTTGATTTTCTCCTGTTTGGGTGATGCTCTTCTCAATCACAACTACTTCGTGTATGGTATGTGTGCATTTGCAGTGGCACAGCTGTTTTACATAATGGCATTTGGATTCCAGCCGCTTAAACTTTGGATTGGCTGTGTACTGTACTCGGCTGGAGTAGCAAGTATGATTTAAAACCAATTACCACTTGTTTCGTTTGAAATTCAATTTCTTTCCGTTTCCACTTCAGCTATTTTTGTACTGTGGCGATACTTGGATCCCATCATATTGATTGGTCTTCCGTTATACACAATTTTATTGGTCACAATGTGCTGGCGCTCAATAGCCCTTCTTTTCACTGCCAAAGTATACATTACCTTTGCTACACACATTCGATTCATTTATGCAAACAAAAACATTAAATTCCTTTCGATTTTTCATAGAATTCGGGAAATTTCTTGAGGATCATTTGTGCAATATCCAGTGCACTATTCGTTATATCAGACACAATGATTGCCATTGACAAATTCTATTCGCCCATAAGTAACAGCTCGGTATGTAAACATGTTTATTTTGTTTAAATTCAAATTGAGTACGCATTTGCGAATATGAGCGATTTGAATAATTTGTATCAATTTAAGGTGTGGATTATGTCAACGTATTATGCGGCTCAATTTGGAATTACGCTGAGCATTGTGGATGCGGATAAATTGAAACAAAATTGGACAAAGAAAAGAACGCAATAAGTATGCGCGCTTCACACAATTTTTGCTGCCGAGATAAGCACACATTTTATCACAACAATGTAGTTTTTCCCTTTTGTCTTTCACCGTGAAAGAATGTACGATATAATTGAGATGATTTATTTTCTGCACTCTCGTATGTGACGAATGCACACAAAACGAATGTAAATATTGTACAAAATTAGGAAAAGAATATGCATGGATTCCGGTTTTAAAGTTAATTTTAAATAAATAAAATTCTAATAATAATACGAAATGAAATGAGTGTCTTTGTTTTGAATCTATATCTATATCGCTTTGTTCGTGTAAACCGCTGCTGAAATTACCAGCAAACTCACCGAACCGCAACCATTGAACGCATCCATTCCAATCGACATTGAATGAACGATATGACATTTGTGCGCATGCATGCTGCCGACCGAACGAAATAAAACCTTCACCGAATAATCGCTCTAATGTTCTCTCATTTGGTTGCGGTGCGCCCGTCAAATAGTTTTGCAAGAGTTAATCGCAACAGCATAAAAGGAGTCTTCACTTCTTGCTTGAACAAATATCCAAGAAGAATTTCAATTAGATTTGTTTTTTTTTTAATTTTAATTTATTCACTTTTATTCATTTAATTCGTAACTTAATTATACACCGAAATGGCTAAATCGAATGCTGAAGAAGTTGATGTAAGTAGAAACTGAGGAAAAAAAATCGTATAGAAATTGTGCATGTGTTTCGATTGGATTTGTTTCGAAAAATGTTGAAGAACGGTACGTGGACCTAGCATCGAAATTAAATACCGAGAGATATAGAGGCCGATAAATTTGCTTTGAAATGAAAGCGATGAAATAAATTGTTAACATATGTGTAGCGGTGATTTTAATTTCCACATCTGTGTATGTGTGTGTGTGAGAAAAATTTTCTTTTGATTTTTCTATCTGAAGTTGTGCTAAATTCAAGCAATAGGTTTTCTATAACATTTTTTTCTTCTCTTGTCGCCATTTTGGTTGAGGTTATTTCTGATTGCAATTTGTCTCTTTGGCTGTATTTGCATTGCTGAAATTCGTCTGGAATTTTTGTCAGAATTTGTGACAAATGAATGATTCCAATCCAATGAATTAGTGGATAAAATATAGGAAAATTCGTATGGCACTCAATACACTCAATTATTACGGTCTATGCAAATATGTGTTGATTCGCTGAATAAACGAAAGTGGGTGTGATGAAAGTGTTTTTGCTCGTCCAGCTAAGTTGAGCTGAACTGAGCTGAATTGGCTTGCTTAGCTTTGCCACTTTAACGTAATCGCATGAATCTTTTATTGCAATCAACTTTAACTTCTATTCGCCAACAAGAAAATATTCGCAACAATGAAAATCGTATATCGAATAATAATAATAACAACAACAACAACAAATACTGCCCGATACAGTTAATCGGTGTACATGTCTCTTCATTCTCCTATCAATTTGTACACAAGCAAACAATGCGGTAATTAGGTATGCGACAAAAGATCATACGTGAAAAATTAGTGCAATGCATCAGCTCCATAATTAAATTACTTCGAGTATTTGGTTTCGACTGAAATTTATCCACATCGACAGAATATATGTTCCCACTGAAGCGATATTGTGAATGTTTATGATAATATCTAACAACAGCAACAACAAAAAAAACAATTCTATGCAATTTTTCTTCCAGAAAACTGAAAACAATGAAGCGATCGTAAAGAAGGCAGCTTCGGAGAATGCAACAGAGGCCGGCAAAGATGCACCGGTTGAAAGTTTGATTAAGCATCCGTTGCAAAATTCCTGGACACTTTGGTACTATGATCACGAGAAGGGTAAAACATGGGAGGCATGCCAGCATCAGATCACCACATTTGATACGGTCGAAGATTTTTGGAGCCTCTACAATCACATCAAACCACCGTCAGAGATTAAGAATGGCAACGATTATTCGCTGTTCAAGAACAACATTCGTCCAATGTGGGAAGATGAACAGAACAAAAACGGTGGCCGATGGATCATCAACTTGCAAAAGTTCTTCCGGCATGTTGGTGAGCTGGACAAACTATGGCTCGAGGTGATTCTGTGTTTGATTGGCGAAGCTTTCGATTTTTCCGAAGACATTTGCGGTGCTGTGGTCAATGTTCGTCTGAATCGCCACAAAATCGGTAAATAAACAATAAATATATTTGTGTTTCAGTCATTTGTTCCATTCGCCAATGTCAAAATGCTTATTTTGTGTGTGTGTGTTCTTTTGTTTCTTCTTTTCTCTCAAAACAGCCATTTGGACGTCAAACAACGACGAACAAAGAATCCTCAGCATCGGCCGAAAATTGAAAGAAAGTCTCAATTTACCACAGGAATTGCAAATTCAATATGAACTACACAAAGAAACGGCATTCAAACACGGTGGCAAGGCCCCAGCATACACGTTGTAGTTTTCTTATTCACTTTCCTTCAAAGATTTTTTTTTCTTTAACTCTTCTTTTTTTTAAATTCTCTATTCTAATAAGCGAAATCTTTCATTTTCAATCATTTTTTTTTCTCCTAGAAATAGAGGATTTATTTACTATATGCGAGATAAAAAAAACAATTCTAACATAAAAAAAAACTATTATTATTATTAGGGAACTAATCATTTCTCGTTGAATCAATTGTATATTCAAATTGAATTGTTTAAGTTCGCTATTAATTGTAAGCTGATAACTTAAGGAGGTTCGGAATGTGCGAAAAACAATTAAAAGGAAAATTAAATAGAACATTTTCAAAGAAATAAAAAACCAAACCGGCGAGCCGATTTGCATTTCAATTTTTATTCCTGTTTCTTATTCTGTGTCTCTCTGTGTTCATTTTTATCTTTTGTGTGTTACCATATCCAACAAACATGCGCTGTATCGTTGATAGTGAGAGTTTACACGTCAACGTCAGGCACAACTGGTAACCTAAAAAAAAAAGTTTTTGACACAAAATGTCAACACATCGACGAAATTCATTGAAACGTACGTGGAGTTTGTGGTCGTGTAATACGTATTGATTGAACCGGGTGAATGGTTTTTTTTTTCTTTTCTATTGATACTCATTTCCCAAGCACTATGTCGTCATTTAGCAATAAAAATAAAAAGAAAACGCCACAATCGTCGAATAATAATAAATCGAATGCATCGTCGAATGCATGGCATACCAAAGAAAACAAACCGCAAATTTCACTGACAAGAGAATCCAAGAATACGGCAAACAAGCAAAATGTTGCCAAAGCAAAATTCAAAGCGGCTCAACAGGAACATTTGCAAGCAGCTAAAAAGCATATCCAAAATTACGAGTCGAGTTCCGATGAAGAGGATCTGGAAAGTGATGCACTACTCGAATCGGTGTTCAAAGGATACGATGGTGATCGAAGTCAATTGCGAAAGACACAAGAATTTCTTGAGCATGTTTTTCAATCGGGAGCGGCGACCTGCTTGATTTGCATCGCAACAGTTAAACGAACGGATTATGTAAATACGCACCGATGAATTGCTCTTCACTGTAAAATTTCTTTCTCAATTGATTAATCCTGTGCAACATTTAATTTTTAGATATGGTCATGTGACAATTGCTACAGTTTCTTCCATTTGAATTGTCTACAACGATGGGCTAAAGACAGCATATCACAACAGAAAATGCATCAGGAAAATGATGTCGCTGGCTATTACAATAACCAAGGCGAGTATATTCAAAAGCAAATCAAAGCCATCAAATGGTGTTGTCCAAAATGTCGTGCCGATTATCCACCGACTGAAGTAAGTGTTATCGTACATTTAGATCACTCAACGAATAAAAACTCAACACAACATGAATGGCTCTTTGTTAGATTCCACAAAACTACGTTTGCTTCTGTAAAAAAGAATTGAATCCGGTGAATCATCTGTGGCTGGTGCCACATTCATGTGGCGAAGTGTGTGGAAGCCCACTGAAATCGGCATGTTCACATCGATGTATGCTACTTTGTCATCCGGGACCGTGTCCACCGTGCTCGCAGATCATAAGCACATCGTGTGAATGTAAGAAATCCAATTTACGGACGATTCGATGCTCGCAAAATTCATGGAAATGCGGAAATAAGGTAAAAATGAATTGATCTAAAATCAAATTGACACATTTGTTTCATCATACGATTTGAATGTTTTAGTGCTCAAAAATTCTCGTTTGTGGCATACATAAGTGCGATCAAATATGTCACGAAGTGTGTCCACCGTGCACAAAGAAAAGTTCACAAAAGTGTATATGCGGCAATAAAACGCAGGAACGCGATTGCACCAGTCTGATTTGGTCGTGTGAGAAAACATGCAACAAATCGTTTGATTGCGGCCGACATCGGTGCAAAGTGAAATGTCACAGCGGCGATTGTGGTGAATGCCCGAATGGCTTGCTCAGATCTTGTCCCTGTGGAAAAGAGGTGAACACATTGTACATTTACTTACGCAACAGCATTGCATAATAGAACAAAACAGGCAATAATTGCACATGCTTCTTTTCTATAGACAACCCAAGCACCGTGTAGCATAGAAATTGAACCTTGTGGCAATACCTGCCAGAAGACGCTAAAGTGTGGTAATCATATATGTGCTGAACGATGCCATCGCGGCGAATGTGGCCAATGTTTGGAAATCATTGAAAAGAAGTGTCGTTGTGGCCTCTATTCAAAGGAGGTACCCTGCAGCAAAGTCAATTTGTGCGAAGCAAAATGCAAACGCATGCGTGACTGCAATAAACATGCATGCAATCGGAAAGTATGTGTGTTTTTAGCTATAAATCGATTAGTGTAAGTGGGAATAATTTGATTTCGATCATCGTTCTTTCCAGTGTTGTGATGGGGATTGTCCGCCATGTGATAAAATATGCGGCAAAGTATTATCTTGTGGAAAGCACAAGTGTACATCGGTTTGTCATAACGGCCAATGCTATCCGTGTGGCTTGACAGCAACTGTTAAATGCCGGTAAACTTGATAGATTTTATTGATTTCAATGAAAAGTTCTATGAACCTTGTCGTATAATTGGAACAATCAATTTATTACAGATGCGGAAATACGACGATCGAAGTTCCATGCGGTCGCGAGAAGAAAACCAAACCACCAAAATGCAATTTACCATGTAAAATTCCATCGAAATGTCATCATTTCAACGCACACAATTGCCACATGAACGAATGCCCTCCGTGTACTGAACAGTGTCTGTTGACAAATGATGTAACCAATTGTGAGCATCCATGTCGGGCCAAATGCCATGATGCAGTTAAAGTTCAGATTATCGATAAGAATTTTAAACCAGCTGGCCCTTGGGATATTCAACCGGAAAAGTATGAGATTCGAAAATTGCCGCATCCAAAGTGTGAAGTCAAAGTACCGGTTGAATGTATCGGTGGTCATGAATTGGCATTATGGCCTTGCTGGAATTCGAAGCCAGCATCATGCGGCCGCATTTGTGGTCGAGCATTGAAATGTGGCAATCATGTGTGCGAACAAATGTGCCACGCGGTGGACGATAAATCGTCAACCAAGGTAAGGCATACAGATTTTTCCTCTCGAAACATTGTCTTTAGTAAAAGAAAAATAGTGATGAAGAAACCGTTCGACTGACGAATTTGTACCCATATTCTCTATTCCAGCAAGAAAAGTCTTGCGCTGAATGTTTGGAAGGCTGTAAAATACCGAAACCACCAGGATGTGTTCATGCATGCGAGAAAAGGTGTCATCCAAAGCCGTGCAACCAATGTAATATAGTCACAAAAACCGCCTGTCATTGTGGACTGAATCAAGTATACTACAAATGCCACGAATTCTATGGCGAAAATCAAGATGATGACGAGATCAAGGAAAATCGCGAGAAGCGACTGAGCTGTGGAAATCGATGCATCAAAAATGTGAGCATTTCTTTGGGGATTATCTTTTTGTTCCATAGAATCATATCAAACCAAATTAAATACCTTACATTAATGACATCATTTTCTTTTGAAAACAAACAAATTAGTTCTCATGCGGACATCGTTGTACGAATGTGTGCCATTCGGGCCGTTGTCAAAACGAAGAATCATGCCGAAAGAAGCTCAAAGTGTATTGTGATTGCAAAAATCGAAAAATCGAAACCACTTGCGACAAAATCCGTTCTGGTTTCGCATTGAGCTGCGATGAAACCTGCACAAGTCGACAGGAAGAATTGAAACGAGCTGCAGAGCAGCAAGAGCGCTCTCGTCGTGAGCAGGAAGAAGAGAAGAATCGTTTGGAGCTCGAAGAGTTTGAGAAGAAATTCGGCAAAAAGAAGTACAAGGAGAGAAAAACACAAGTCATCGAAGATAAAAACAATTCATATCTTTTCAAATGGGCTGGACTTGCCATTGCCGTAGCAGTTCTTGCAGGATTTATTTACTTCCTCATTTCGCAATAGAATTATACGTACACATAATAATTAGAAAAAGTAATATTTATAAAGCAGCGAAAATGTTTACACAAAAGATTGCAACGTTTTAATTGTTTTTTTTAGAAAGTTTCGTATTTTTCCATAATTTTTCGGTATTTTCATCGTAATCGAAATGGAACGAAGTAAACACCATATACGCAATAAATGTAATTAAAGACAATACTGTTAAATATTCAGCGCGGTTCCTGAAATTGTGGTAAATGTATTGTGAGTGAGAGATGATTTAAATGAAAAACATTTATTGAATTTCTTACTCGAATGGTGTTCCGCATACGGTATACCAAATACTTCCATCGGATGGGACCGTTGCGTTGGGTAAACAATGGAAATCATAGTATTTCTCATCATAGTTATCCAAGCACAGATACTTTTGCCGGTGCAAAGTCTGATAAATATGCACAATACGTAGAAAACAATGAAAATTGTGATATTGATATTGACATGAAATAAAATCAAAGAAAAAAAGAAAGAAAACCTTTAGTATTGTATGAACTGGTTCCGTTTCATTGCAGTTGCCGATCGGTTGGTGTAGACCAATGGAAATGGCATCCTCCGGATTGAAAAATATCACCATGACCAAAAATACCAAGTAATGCACCAACAAATGACCAAACAGTATTTTCGATACGAAATTCATTTTGGCCGGCTTTTCATACCGATGGCTTTTTCTATCAAATTTCCATACAATTGCCGTGAATGCCATCAAAATGCTAACGCCAGTCACTTCCGATGGCACCCCATAAAAGTCGTGAAGCGGATGATAAAACGGAAGGAATAATAAGCAACCACCTGGCATCCCCAATAATGATGCCGCAATCAATGCATTTATTTCCGATTTTCTACAAAGAAAAACATCGCTTTAAATCACATCGACTACAAAAACGAACAAACGATCGAAAGATTGAAGGCTTACATTGAACCAGCTTGCCATTTGTCCAAGTCTTTGCTTTTATCAATCCATCGACGGACTGAATGAAACCAAAATTGGAAACTCGTAGAGAAACATAAATGAAAGTAGTATGAATTCCATGGCACCCAGTAATGACGATCATCTATTTTGAAGCAAAAATAAAATTTACAACGAAAATAAAATCAATTGATTGAGAGGCACGTACAAATATTTGGATCGGTATCGTGCCAAATCCAGTGCACGTATTTTACGCTAGTTATATCATACGGAATATCAACCAGCACGGTCATCAGCCCAACAGCCATATATTCAACGAGTTGAGACTTTAATTTCATCTTTGAACTAGCCCATGATGCATGATAGTAGAACACTGGATCTATTAAAATCGTTTAAATTTTGTATTATACGTAGTTTGATTATGATTCGGTGGATTTTTCGCATTTTACTCACAAAGAACCGCTATGTAGAGCGCCATTCGACGATCAAAAAGTGTGATCATGCCCTGAGCATGCCAGAAATTTGCTATGAACGGCGCAAAATAAGCGATAAGTTCAACGACAAATCCATGAAACATGGACGCAAAAAATAGCCACGGCCATCGACCTCCCGTTGTAAATGCTGTAGATAGAAAGATTACGATAATAGGTTGGATACTCGAATCAAGTCAAATGTTTGTTGCAATATTGTCTCCCAATTGGTTATGGCCAACAAACCATGTACAAGCATTAGGCCGGCTCCAATCAAGAAGTCAAGTTCACAGATGGCATAGGTTGGATGCGCATTCCAGTAATCGTACGGATCCATATAGCCAATAAGCCAATTGCCGAGCTAAAATTTTAACTGAATTTCAAGGACACACATTTCAACTCAAAAATTGTGTGAAGTCAACTTACGCCTGTGTAGTTCATTTCAGAACGCTCTTCACCAAACCCAGTTATATTGTATTCCATATTTGTATCGAACAATACGTTCCTACCGAAATTCCCTTTAGATCAATCGCCAGCTGTAAAAATGAACCCGAATCTAAAATCGTTTGACATGACATGCTCAACGAAAATTCTCTCTTTATAGCTTTCAGTTAACTCTTATCGCTTTAATCAAATCGCGTATATATTGGCATTCTGATAATTTTTGATAATTTGCTGTTGATAGCTTGCGAAAATACGGGCTACTCACGATTTTTCAATTGTACTTTTGGTCACAGTAAAATATGAGAATAAAATGCAGATTTTCAATTTTTTTTCAATACTTTTATTACGCGTACAGAAATGATAGAACATAGATAAGATCAGCATTGTGTTTGGCAGTAAATCTTGTTTCTGAACATTTTTTGTAGCCTAATTTATGTTTCTATGGAATGTTTAGTGTTGGTTTTGACGTTTTCAGACGATAACCGAATGCGCTAAATACGAACTAGATGTAGTTGGTAGGTTTCGTCTGTAAACTATCGTGGTTATTTCAAGTGCGTGGGTAGATGACAGTGCCCTATGCAATTATTAGGGATGAATAAATGTAATTTCACTGTAAATAGCGTCCGCACATATTAGCTTAAATTGATTTGTCGCCCACTGACAGTCAAGGTAAAGCCAATAATTCTAAAATACAAACTATAGCATAAACATGACCGTCACATTCCAATCGAGATTTTCCGTTGACATTTGTATAAATGAATGAAGATGGTCTCGCTGCCAGCTTGTAGTAAATTGCCATCGTATGTTTACGATTTATGAATGAAATTATGACAGTTCTCAAATGAGGTTTTTGTCTTTTACCATTCGAGGTTATCGCCTGCGTGCGGGTAAGGTGGCGGTGTTCCGAGCTTCCAATCAGTGCCTTATACAATTATTAGGGATGAGTAAATGTGAATGCACCGTAGAAAAACGTCCGCACATATTAGCTTAGTTTGATGTGTCGCCACCCGACAATCAAGGTAAAGCAAATAATTCTAAATCAATATCATTAGAAATAAGAGCACCGCCACACCGACTTACGCGCACGCGATAGCCTTTTGCAAAATTTTCCAATTTTCTGAAAAAAAAAATTTTCGTCTTTTTTTGTGGTTTTCTATCAGTATTTGAAATCCGCTGTTGAAAATACGTTTAATTTTGATTTAAATATTTTTTTAAATATTTAAATACACATCGATCGACAGCAAGCATCAAATCTGTGGAAAAATCAAAAGAAAATCATTTCTTTAGATATTATTCCGAGTGAAAATTGAAAATTAACGGAAACGCAAAGTTTTTGTTTATATTTTGAATCGAACATATGGGTGCGCATGTGTTGTGTATACACATGTGTGATATATTCAACGTCACTTTTATACCAGCTGCTTGCTATACGTATAGCATGAGCAGCTGCTTCTGCGTGTTAAATTTTGCCACGCCAAACTTATACCAATACACCATTCATTTGTAAGAAATGTTTTTTTTCTTCATTTTTTAATTGAAAAATATACCTACTTACTACATTTAACATTTACACGAGTACGACATCAAAAGACATACTCAAAAGAGCTATTGAGGCTCAGTTGAACGTAATCTGATTTTCTGTGTGATAAAAGTATTTAAGTAGAGCGTAGATTTCATTCTAAACCGAGGCTCTGAAGACAAGATCTGTAAAATAAGCAGAGAAATTTCAATTTTAGTAAAAATATTAAACTGCGTTCAGATTTCATTAGTTTTACATGTCACATATTTGTGTAATGTGCCCGGTATTGTTCTAATTCATATAAATCTCTATGTCCATTTTGTATACCAAACAAGCGCATACACACAAATACATTTACAAACAATTTTTGCAACACATCTAATCGCATCGAATGTGTTTCAAGTCTTGGAAGAACAAAGTTTGGAATAACTTTCATTAAAGACTAAAATGATTTTGAATTTGAAAAAAGGTAATTTTAAAGGGAAAAAAATACTCACTCGAGCTGTTTGATGGAAATACTAGAATATTTCTATTCTAGGAGCCAAAACCGAATTATCGTCCGAACTTGACGAATGTGCAGCTGCGACTAAGGCATATGTGCACATATTCCCCGTGTATTACTTTCTCCCTTTTGTGATTTCGTATGGGCGCAAGCGTATACTGTATCGATCGAATATGAACACCACTTTTTTTTTTATAACAAAGAAGTTTATTGTTTGTTCGGAACATTTGAACAATATACACTATGCACTGCTTTTTATTGATTAACTACATTGGGCTGAATTAGATTAATAAAAATCATTCATCTTCTAACTAAGACTGCACTGAGAAAAAAAATTGCGGTTCATATATCTTATCTTGAAAATAAAGTTCATTTCCAGTCATTTTTTTTTGTTAACATGATTAATGAATCTTTGATGATAATCCAATGCAAAATAAAACATGAAAACCAAAAATATGTGTTTTCATAAGGAATATTTTTTTCTGGCTGTTCGAAAAACATGATTTATTTTATACCGATTGAGTTATAATTGAAGGATCCGTCTCGAACTGATCTACGAATCCAATAGAAATTTTGTTCGTATGAAGAAAAAAATTGAAAGAAATGCAATGTTTCTTATTCGCAAATACCAACGGTTTATTCATTGAAAAAATGAGTGAGAAATTCAAAGCATTCTTGGTAAAAATCACATAGTTAAACTCTCAATTTGTATGATTATTAGTATTTTCAATTGCTTTCAAGTAAAGTTCAATTGATCTGAGTGTTAAATTCATTCGAAAAAAAAATCGTCTTTCAGAGACCTGCTGAAACTCGTTAAGACATACGGTGCATATGGAATGAGCTACGGGCCAATTTGGAATTTCGGAAATTTGCCACAGAGAAGAAATCATGCGAACGTGAGTAAGCGTTCGGGGCACAAGTTAATGTGTATTTCTCAGCAGATGTATGCAGAAAATCCGTTGAAACCATAATCAATGCCACTTATCTTGTTGCGATCAAAACATTTGATAAATGGCCGTTTCTCGTTCATGGCAATCTCAATCGAACATAGAATTATTGTAACACACTTTGTTAAAATTCCTACTCTACAGTTAAGTAATGCTCACAGAGCATTCAAATCATACATTTTACGGCTCCAGAAAAGTCAAAAGCCAAAAATGGAGAAAAACAGTCAAATTAATTTGATTTTAGCGCCAATTCACTCGTTTCACTCATGTCAGTTTCTGTGAGTTTTGACAGTCGAGTCGAATGTTTTCGATAAACATCGCACTGCTCATGCACAAACTGACGCATACACGCGGACACAGAAAACGACTTGTATAAATACACAAAGGAAACGTACACATGAAAAGAGCAGGAAAAACATAAATATATTTACTCGGTTATAAGGGAACAACAATTGTCAAGAAGAAATAAAGAAAAAATGTTGTGTTGTTGTTCGATGTAATGTGATGATGGTATGTTTTTTTCTTACCAAAATCGATGATTCGGGTACTGGATTTGATGTTGTGCTTACAAAAATTACGAGATAACTAAACGTCAACCGATTTTATTCACCGAAATTCCATTCAATTGGCAATAAACGCGTTTCACCGTTTCGTCGTATTGTGTGATTGCTTTGCTACGTATATAGAGTGTAAAACTATAGGCTAAACAGCCAATCGACTTGACGAAATAATAGGAAAAAAAAACAAATTTGCACCGAGAATTATGTCATTCTTCAACTATATTTTATCACCTCGGCTGTACAAAGTGTATCGCGACGGTTCGATACAGGTACATTGAAAATTTGTATTATTATATTTGTGCAGATGGTTCACATGTAGTGTCCGTATCATTTTGCTTATGCTATGCTAATTAGCTTTACCATATCTAAAACTCAATGCAAATGCTAATCAATTCCGATTTGATTTCGTTTCATGACATTAGAAGCTCTACGAGCCCGGTGGTTTCGAGAAATGGGGCGATCAAATCATTTCAACGGTGAGTTAATTCCAATGCAATCTAACACAGGTCATCAGGCATTTGAATACAACGCAAAACGTCACATCGCAAAAAATGAATTCCAAAAATGCAAATCATCTTGTGCGAAATTTAGAAATATTTTGTCGTAAAAACTTCCAACTGGTTTAAAATGAATGACTTCAATATTGACTCTATTACAATCGAAGAAAATGCTAATTGTTGTTGACTTTTTTGTATATTTTTTTTTTTAGCTTTCTCTCATGTGGAACATTAGTTATTACACATCACCATTGATAATAACGTTTCTGTATCGACGTGGCTATTTTGTGGCTGAGTCGATAACTTCATTTGCTAAAGTATCCACTGGAATTGGTCTACTCGTGGTCATTTCGCTGTGCATGAGAGGATTTGGCCGATCATCGAGTGTGAGCTATCGAAATTTTGTGAAAGCATTAGAACAGGCCAAAGAAAATGTGTCCAATCAAAACTTAAAGGATAAACTTCGCGCGTACGATTTTGAATTTAAAGACTGGCCAGTTGATTTTAATGTGAAAGATGTCAATGGGTATGTTAGCATATTTCCAATTCGGCCCATCGTGATGTTTTACACCGTTTTGCTTGGCCTTTTCCTTTCAGAGATCCGAGCAAGCGTTATGATGTGACGTTGAATACTAATCGAACGAAACCATTTTGGATTTCAACGTTGCCATGTGAAATTGCCGCTTATATTGCCATTCACACATTTGGTATTCGTATGATATACCCGGGTTCGATTAGGCTTCTGCAAAGTTTTCTACACCCGATTTTGGTGCAAGGCCGTGCAAAATTGGTCGAAGAAGAGTCGGCCATACGCTATAAATTAAGAACTATCGATGGCAATGATATTGATACGGTGTTCATTGACCATCGTGCCGATAACACTGAAAAGAATGCCAATGGTCGAACATTGGTCATTTGTTCGGAGGGTAATGCTGGTTTCTATGAGATTGGCATTATGACTACTCCAATAGCAATGAAATACTCCGTTCTGGGATGGAATCATCCAGGTTTTGGTGGAAGTACGGCAAGTATTGAATCGGAGAAATGATATAGGGAATCAAACATGAGCTGACAGTTTTTGTTTGTTCTTTTAATGCAGGGCTTACCATATCCACAACAAGATCAGAATGCAATTGATGCTGTCATGCAATTTGCCATACATAAGCTGGGCTTTCAACCAGAAGAAATTCTACTGTTTGGTTGGAGTATCGGTGGCTACTCTTCGTTGGTCGCAGCAACACAATATCCAGACGTCAAAGGAGTGGTAAGTGGAATGTATGTCATGTTCATCATGATTACCATCCTAACTGTGTTATTCAATCGCTTTTAGGTTCTTGATGCAACATTCGACGATGTACTGCAATTGGCAATACCCCGTATGCCCAACAGCATATCCGGCATAGTTCGAATTGCAATCAGAGACTATGTCAATCTCAATAACATTGAATTGATAAATCAGTATAATGGCCCGGTATTATTGATTCGTCGCACTGAAGATGAGATTATTGCCGAGTAAGTACTTGAATTTTGATCATTCCACAAACACACACTGATCCCAAAACCATGACATTTTTCTTGTTCCAACAGAGATAATGAGCTGGCTACGAATCGTGGGAATCATTTGCTGATTCACTTATTAAAAACGCGATTCCCAAATATTTTCCAAACCGAGCAAATTGAACGGATTACCAAGAAGTTGTCTCAACCGCTCGAGAAAGGTATGTGTGCCAGAAATCGATGTGATCGAGAAATGTAATTTTGGAACAATAATAATAATCGATTCAATTTCACAGCAAAAGACTCAACTGGTTCCGATGAACTGATGCATTCACTTCTGTTGTCATACGTATCGGAGAACTCAAAACAGTATCCAGTCGATATTGGCGAGGAATATACAATGGACTTACGAAATCAAATGTCCGAGTATTTGGTTCGAAAGCATTTAATTGATTTTAAGTCAACTCATTGTACACCGCTGCCGACGGAAAACTTTCGGATTCCATGGGATTTGCCCACCGTTGAAAATGGCTTTATTTTCACATAAAACCCGTGAATGATACATGCATTTAAATGAAAATCGTACTAGAGTATGTTTTTGTCTTTCTAAATTAACTGTCGGTGAATCAAATGTGATGGCCAAAGTCACACATCTTCAAAGAAGCTTGAACATTTTTTTTCTCTTTTCTTTCTCAATTTTAAATGATGCAATTATTATAATAAAAAGTATGCAAAGTAAATAAAAATAAAAGGAGCGAGAGTTTCAAATATATGGCCTTTCTCTTATCATTTCCGTCTTGTTCTTTGTGGCGCAACATAGGTAAACATTCGAGATATAAATGCGATTTATTATAGATCAGCTGATCGTTGACAGTTGTGATGTTGACAGTAATTGACATTCCATAGAGAGAATCGATCGTATTGAATATACCATATTTTTGGGCAAATAAGTTTGTAATCAAAACATGAGACAATCACATCCTGTACATAAACTAAACATTTCATCCGATATAATAGATTGTTTATTGGAAGAATTTGATGGAGTTATTAACTCGAAACGTTTACGATCACGGATCGGTAAAATTAGTGAATTGATTGATGTGCTCTGGAAGAGGAACTCATTTTCCAGTGATCAACACGTTTCAAATACGATCTTCAAATATGTACGAACTGATGAACAACGAGATGTTATACGGAACTACATAAGCATCTTAAATTCCAACGGAAATGTGGATCATTCGGGGAATGTTTACGGTTTGTGTATTTTATCAATTTCATGGCAAATGAATGCGAAATAACGATGAGCTTGTCTATCTTATCTTACAGCCAAAATTCGTCAGGAATCAATCAGGCATTCAACACTACTTCCAACTGTTACATCTCCAAATATTCCAGGTGCTTCTTCTGGTACCAACTTGAGGAATTCGAGCCAAAACACTGGAGATTCAAAGAGACGGCATGAAACATTCCGAATCGTCTGTGATAATATCGATAATTGGCGAGATTTTGGGCGTTGCTTTGACATAAAAGACGTGGAACTCAATCATATTGGCCAGGACCAAGAGCTTCGTAATGACATCAAATTAATTACCAATCGTATTCTGGAGCGAATGGAAGAAAAGCACAACGATCAATTCTATGCGAAATTATGTGATGCCTTGGTCGAAGCCAGGAGAAAAGATATTATTAGGGATTTGAAGAAATTTAAATTGATTTAGACTAAGTTCACATATGACCGCAAAGTTGATAATGTATTTGTTAATTTTCTAATAAAAACAATACGAATAAAGAAAGTCGCTGACGAAAAGAAGTTTTGGAGAACAAAAAGCATGTATTTTTTCTGATGAAGTACACGATTGTTGATCGCATCGACCATTGAATCATTGATGGATTTGAAAATATTTCAATTTGGTTCCATGCATTTTTTTTCCCATCATTTAGTTGTGTCGATGTAAGAGGGATACATTTTCTGCAAATTGAAATTAGGTTGATACACATCAAATTCAAATCATTTGCCTATTTTTCAATTGCGAATCAAACGTAGTTCCATCGTTTAGCACCAGATGGCCTGGAGCAGTGACAGTTCAAAAGTTGAATACATGCGACCACGAATGCCGTGTGTATAATAATATTAAAATATAAAACGTATGTGCTACTTTCCCTCTCTCGCTGATTTTGGTTCGTATTCAATTAATTTTCCCTTCTACAAATGTTTGTGTTGCGAAGTCAAAGTCTTTTAACCTTATTATCGCAAACCATTTGAAAAAACACAATTGTGTATTGTGTGCTCTATTCAAGTGTTGAGTTGTTTAGTTTGTTGGTGATTTTAACGACAACATCACGAATCAAGTATTGTGTATGTGATAAAATTAAGAATTTGTATTTAAAAATAAAAAGAAGAACAACAATACCAAGAGCGTAAAAAAAAACATACGACAAAAAACACCTCAAAAACAAGTTTTTTCTGTATTTCGAATTGGTTTGACGTATTTGCGTAATAAATTTATTGTAATTTAATCACAAATCGAAAAACCGACACAAACAACACATACCATTTGATTGTCAGAATCTGAAATTTAATTATAACTTGCTGATTCACTATTATTTTACGATAAGACTTCCACATACACAAGAGCGTGCCATAAAAACCAACACCAACTGTGAAATAAAAAATAGTGTTGCTCTGACTTTAAAAACTAAAGTGAATTTTGTTTATTTTGCTCTCAGATTCGGAAAAAGAAAATTGTCGAAAATGTCATCGAGCGATCAGTTGAGATTTGATGGTCGTGTGGCCATTGTTACGGGCGCCGGTGCTGGTTTGGGCCGCGAATATGCGCTGTTGTTTGCTGAACGAGGAGCAAAGGTTGTTGTCAACGATTTAGGTGGCAGCACATCGGGTGAAGGTTCAAGTAAAGCAGCCGATGTTGTTGTCAATGAGATTCGAGCGAAAGGTTTGTATTTCAAGCGAATGAACAAAATAGTTGGAACTAAATAGCAACAATGATCGTATAAAATAATTGTGGTTATTTCTCGCAGGCGGTGTTGCATGTGCAAATTATGATTCGGTGACAGATGGCGAGAAAATCATTAAAACGGCCATGGATAATTTTGGCCGTGTTGACATTTTAGTGAATAATGCCGGTATACTGAGAGATAGAAGCTTTGCGAAAATTTCGCCACAAGATTTGAACATCATTCTCGATGTTCATTTCCGGGGAAGCTTTAGCACAACACAAGCGGCATGGCCGATATTCAAGAAACAGAATTACGGCCGCATTATTATGACCACGAGTAATTCGGGCATTTATGGAAACTTTGGGCAGGCAAATTACAGCGCCGCTAAAATGGCTCTCGTTGGTCTCGCCAATACACTGGCCATCGAAGGTGATCGAAATAACATTCATTGCAATTGCATCGTTCCAACAGCCGCATCACGTCTCACTCAGGATGTGTTACCCGAAATTTTGTACAATGAATTGAGTATGAGTTGACTAATTGCGCTTAACTTTTGTGGAAAAATCATTAAGGGTTACAATGTTTTCTGTTTCAGAACCAAAATTAATTGCACCAGTTGTCGCTTTCCTGTGTCATGAGTCCAGCACAGACAACGGTGCGATCATTGAATCAGCAGCCGGGTGGGCAACCAAGGTATTGCATTTCATGAACCAATTTCCGTTTACTTAGGGATTATTAACACGTTTGAAACTATGTGGTAACTTTCTCTTCTCTCTTTTTCAATTGTCTCTCATCCGCACAGTTGCATACGGTGCGTGGAAAAGGAGCTATTCTACGTACATCACTAGCGGAAGATGTGACACCTGAAAAGGTTCGTGATGCATGGGACCAAGTGACCGATATGTCAAAAGCTGAACGAATGAGTTCCATAACCGAGGCCACTGGAAGTCTAGTTGAGCTTCTTGATCAGCTCGATGGTGGCCAAAATGCAGACCAGGCACAAGGCGACTCAAAATATGAAGACCAATTTGCATTTGGCAACAAAGATTTGATTCTATACGCCCTTGGTGGTAAGTTGTATCCATTTGGATACAATGTCGCTCTTCACTAACGCCTACATGTCTACTTTTTAATTCGTCAAAAGTGGGTGCCAGTGTGAAAGATTCGATCGATTTGAAATTCTTGTATGAAAACCATCCGGAATTTTCACCTCTGCCAACCTATTTCATTATGCCGGCTTTGCTGTTGACAATGTCAACAAACTTGGTGTCATCAGCAATTACACACACCGAATTCGATTTGTCACAAGTTTTGCATGGTGAACAATACCTTGAAGTGTACGATGAATTGCCAACGGAGGGAAAAGTTTCGACAAATGGATCGATTGTCGATGTTATTGATAAAAAATCTGGAGCCGTTGTTGTTGTCAATTGTAAGTGTTTGCATTAAATTCTTTAAAAAGTAGCTAGACTTACCATCTGACTCTTTTGCGTATGTACCAGGTGAATCGCATGATTCAACGGGAAAATTACTGTTTAAGAATCAATTGTCAACGTTTATTGTGGGTGCCGGAAACTTTGGTGGCAAAACAAAGGCATCCGATGAGGTGAAGCCAATTGTACCAGCACCAAATCGTCCATGCGATGCATCCGTCAAATACACGACTAGCATCGACCAAGCAGCATTATACCGGTTAGTAAAATGATGTCATGCCATTTAGCATTCGATTCTAACGCGAAAAATATCCATTTAGATTGTCGGGAGACTTAAATCCACTCCACATTGATCCAGAGTTTGCTAAATTGGGTGGACACAAAGTGCCAATTATGCATGGCTTGTGTACGTTAGGCTTTTCCGTTCGAGCCATTCTAGCAACGTATGCCGATAATGATGCCAACCTATTCAAGGCAGTAAAAGCACGTTTTACAAAACCATCGATACCAGGCCAGACACTTGAAATTCAAATGTGGCAGAATGGTAATCGCATCCATTTCAAAACCATCATTGTTGACTCAGACGTCGAAGTGATTACCGGTATGCTTTGAATCATTTACCAAACTAATTTCTACCAATAGTACATGTTCTGGTTCATTTTCTTTTCCAGGCGCTTACGTTGACTTGAAAGAAATTAAAAAATCCAAGACCACTTCAACAGCAACAACAGCACCCACGTCATCGGTTCAATTAAAAAGCGACATTATTTTCACCACAATTAACGAGCGCATACAAGAAAATGTGGCGAAAGCAAAGTCGGTGAATGGAATATTCCTGTATAACATTACGAAGGATGGACAAATCGCTAAAAAATGGAGTAAGTTTTAATGAGTGTTCACAAATCACCTACAGCCAAAGTCATTCACGCTTATTACCATAGTGAATTTTATATTCGCGCCATAAAATCATTTAATATATACATATGGTATGGTATCGTTAGACGGCATATAAACACAAACGTTTCATAATAAATGATTGTCCGTGGTTTGAATTCAATTTGCCGTAAAAATGCGCTTGTATAAACAATCTTATAAAAAAGCATGGCAATTCGATTGGAATCAATTGTTTGGAACCATTTGTTTTTTTTTTTAATTATTCACGATATTCTTTCCTTATCTCTTTTCGTTCAATAGCTATCGATTTGAAGAGTGCAAAACTGTATGAAGGTCCACCGAAGGGTGTCAACGCCGACACAACGCTCACTGTCAGCGACGATGATTTTGTAGAAATTGCACTCGGCAAAATCAATCCACAACTCGCATTTATGAAAGGAAAACTTAAAATCGCTGGAAATGTTATGTTGACACAAAAGTTGGTGCCCTTGCTGAAAACCGGGCCAAAACTTTAGAAACGGCACATCCATTTGCATTCGATTTGTTATTTAAGACACATTCCAATACAGAGCAGTGGTGTCATCAAAGAATCATGAAATTGTGTTTAAATGGATTTTGATTTATTTTTTTGATGAAGGGGGTGTGTTTCACACAATGGCATTTCACAGGGTCCGACATGAATATCTATAGAGAATAAGACATTTTATAACTTGTTTTTCTTACGAATTCTAAATTCAAATCCAAATACTTTCGATTCATACATAGTGTTGTAGTTCATGCGGGGTTTTTTTCTTGTTAATTTGGGTGATAATGTAGATAAGTAAGTAAACGCAAACAAAGTGGTGCTTTAAATCAAAACTACAACTTGTCATTTATTTGTTTTCTGGAAATAAAACAAAAGACCAATTATGTCTGCTATTTTCTTTGTATTTACTCTGATGTCGTGCGATATAAATTCTGGAGATTAGCTAAGGGAACACAGCGATTAGATTCAACATCGCCGACATAGTAAAAATTCCATCAGAATAAAAAAAAAGTCTGATATCAAAGTTGGTGAAATGTAAACTCAATTATTTATGGGCTCAGCTATCTACCTCTCTCTCTTGTCAGTAGTAGCAAATAAGAAGGGAAAAAAAACAAATTCCGTGGCTGGTTTGTAAGTACATGAATACTGATAATAATACACTTTATTCTTATAACATAAATTCAACAACGGAAATGAATATATTTTGAAAAGCATCAACTCTTAGTCATTAGTCAATTGTAATACTAAATTTGAATGGAAACATGCTAAATGTCTATCGAATTCTATCGTGTATATTTTTTTTTCACTTCAAAAGGCACATATGTCCGTTTATTGCTATATTTATTGCCTGATTAAAAGCTGCCTCTACGATCGACATTAAAAATTAAGCCAAAACAAAAGAACAGAAAATGTGAATGAATTAAAATAGTTGCGAATGATAAATATATGTAATAAATTATTGCTTCATTTGCTTAAATGCTCGTTTAAATGATATTTTACCCTATAATGGTATTGAATCGAATTTAATTCGATGGAACTCTGTGTTATAATTTATTAAATTATTAGAACTAATCGAAATTAATGATCTAAATCAAATCAATATTGAATATTGTACTTAATTGTTTTGATTTTCATTGTTGTGTTTTCGTTTTCACATAATTACTTGACAAGTGGTACACGAGATTATTGTGTAAGCGTTTGATTGCTCGTTTCTATATTCTTCATCGTCTGGTTTTGGCTGCAGTGCTTTTGTTCTGGGGGGAAGGAGAGGAGGTGTTGGTAGGTATGGGAGGATATAATTCGATCAATATCATTTTCTCATTTAATTCTCCTACGATTTGTTCATTTGATTTTGGGTTCATTGATTTGATTTCTACTTATAACGGAATATAATCTCCTTCACATAATCCACATCATCCCATAATTGGACGGCCTTAATGTCGCCAATGTCAAATTTATAGCCGAATCTATATAGAAAGCACCGATCTTCATCATCGGAGTAGACGAAAAACTCGGAATCGTCAAAATGAAACGTCAAACAGAATTCTTGACCTAGATAAGGGAAAACGAAATAAGGAAACTCAATTAAATGCAATGCCAAGCCTACTACCAAACTATACAAGTGGATGGATTATGTATGTTTTGTGATTCATTTTTCGTTTTTTTTTTCATTCGTTCTATGCGTCTCTTTCCCTCTCTCTCTCTCCTTCTATTTCCATTTTTCCAATTGCTATGCAAATTTGCAATTATGTGTTCACTGTTTATGTTCTGTTACGCGCGAAGAACAATATGCTAATTTATATGTTCAATTGTTTTTCTCTTTTTCACACACCCGCAATTACTCATATACACGGTATTCGGTCTTTATGATTTTCCGCGCGCGTTCTTCTCTCTCTCTCTCTTCTCTACTATAAATTTCTAGTGAACAACAGCCACAATAACAACGGCAATAGCATACAAACACTTGAAGCAAGCTGAATCAAGCTAAGTGCAAATCATTTTCTCAGAATGGAATTGCGTGTACCTCAATATTTCAAAACGATAATCTGCCACCCTATGGCTTTTGCTTTAAAGTAATAAAAATAATGGCCCATAATAATGTTTTTTTTTCAACTTCTTCGTCTTCACTCTTTTGTTTGCTTCAATTGTTTGTGTCATGCATGTATATTTGAATCGAATGGAAATAAAAGGAGTATATATATATGATGTGTGTATTAAATGCGTAGATTCTATTTACCAGGCTGAATCCATGTATTCTCCTCCACCGTTTCTTCATTCCAAATGCCAACCGTTTTGTAATTATGCGTCACTAAGTTGTTCACGAAATTTGTTTTGAAATGGTAGGCAATGTTTAGTGGGTTCGGGCAGCAATCCAGCGTAAAATTCACCGAAAATCTATGGGAAGAAATGAGCAAATGCGATTAAAATGTGAAATCGTATTTCTTTATGGAAGATATTATCGGCATATCAAGTTCAGAAAGTGCCGATTGGTTGTGCAAAGAAGAGAACGGTGTAATAATGGGCAAGAATGGTTACAAGTTGACCATTTCTTCGTTTAACGTTAGCAACGAATCACACGAATTATGCAAATATTTCAGGAAGATTCAGTTAATCTGTTGGCCAACGATACATTCATTATGGATTCCATGAAAACGTATGATGATATAAGTACGATCAATACCAGCTGGACCCCAAATCCGGGTGGGTGTTCTTATTCCAAAAATGGTGCAAAAATATTTTTTTCTTTTTTCAAATGGAAAAGCACATGCATGGGCAATTTCTACTACCGCATAATTTCGCAGTTTTTTTTTTGATTTCACGAATTTCGTGCATACAGACAGTATCGCAATTTTCATCGAAATTAACCTTGGACTGTGCGAACAATACGTTCCAATTCGTGTAATTACACTGACCGAAAATAGAACACAAATCATTCCTTCGAAAGAATCGCATTCAAAATTCCATGCTCAATTCAAATGTTGCATGAATGGAAACACGTGGATAAACGCTGTAATAGACGTTATTTTACTATAGCTACTAATAAGATATCAGAGAACAATGTGCGGTGACAGAGTCGGTTACAACAAGGCACTTTTCGTAGGTCAAATATTAGCGGCATTTCTTATTATGGATCGCAATGGTAATCGAAGTGAGCGAGAGAGACACTGAGACCAACTGAGCTGTTATTTATAGCGTATGTCTCACCGTCCAAACATTCTTCATGATTCGTGGAAGTGTGACCAAATAATGAGTTTAATCTACCTAAATTGATGGGTGTAATTATTCTAATTTGCAGTTGTTGTCGCGTAAAGTGCAAGAGTTCCATTAAACACCGTGAAAGGGTATTTTTGAAAAATCGACCAATCAAAATGTCTTTAGAATGCCATTAGTTCCAAACACAATTTTGAGGAATTCAGTTCGCTTTTTTTCCATTTCATCGTGTTTGTTCATCGATTATCTTGTTATTGATGATTCATCATCTTATTTACACTTTTAAAGTACTCTTCCATCCATATTTGTACACATCGATTGTGGAATCATAAACAAATAAAACCGAAACAAAAAAAAATGAAATGAGCTCGACTGATATGTGCCGCGCACGTCGTTGATCGTCATTTACGTCGTTGATCAGTTAATATACTTATCAAGTGTAAACTCACATTTGTGCGTTGTCTTTAATTTTTCCCTTGAGTATGATTTCATCGCCGATTTGTGTTTCTTTCGGCAAAATAGCCATGAAGGGTCTAACGGTCATTGTTGCGAATTGGTTTTTTCTCCTTCTTCTTTTTCTAATTCTTATCTCTGTTACGTTGGTTTTCCTTATTTTGTTGATATTCGTCAATGCTTTCGATCCTGTCAAAAGCTGCGTTCAGGCTCTCAGCAAAGGTGCATCACGGTAGTAAACCAAATCTTCTAGCTTTCTTTCCTGTTTTTAATTATCTCTCACTTGTATTTCCAATTGGAACAAAAATTTCTCCCAATTTCACTTGAACACTTTGACTAACAGGAAAAACTGTTGGAGAATGAATGTTCACTGCCTACTTAAATGATAAACGCACCTTTCATTACGCTAGGTGTGTAGAAAATAAATTACACTTTGATTGTATCGAACTTTTTAAAAAAAAAGGCGATAAGGTGTCAGTCACTTGAATTCTCTTGACATTTTATTTCGTTTGTACACAAAAATACACACTGCTATTTTGATAGAGTACTCACACACGTTTAAAACTCGTTTCGGCGAGAGAGAAAATTGAAAACCGTAGCACGGAGCCAAAGACACACACACACATTTACATACAATCGCAGCGAAATGCGGTTCAGATTGAATTTAGAACATTCTAATAAGCAGAGAAATGAGAGCGAGTGCACGCGTGAGACCAATATTAAAAATTGATCATTCATACAAAATGAATATGCTTAATTATTGGTTGTTGATTTTCTCTGTTTCTCTTCGATGTTTTATTCTTTTTGCTCAACATACAAACTTCGTTCTCAACTGTCGTTTTGTCGTTTTAACGTTTATGCCAAGCACTGCAATCACAATCGGTTCACGTACACCGCATACGTTGCGGAAGAGAATACTTTGAAGTTCACCGAAGAAAAACTGAGTGAAATAAAATTGGATGTCTACACCGTTCAAGAGACCAAATGTTTATGTAAGTTGGAGTTCAGCGAGTCTATCGGTATAATGGTATATATCGATGACGGTACTGCTGTTTAAAAGGAATTAACCTCAAATTCTTAGAATTTTCTGTGGTTGTGTTGTGTCAAATGCGATTGCTATGGTAATGTGCGAGTGCGGCTATGGCATCAATGGCAGGCACAATCATTTGGTAAAGAGAATCGCCTTCGCAATATTACCATTTGCTGGCGGTTTATTCTCTTCTTCTTCTTCGACATTCGTAGAAATGATCCCGTGTTTAGCATACCCGTGTGCAAATAAAATGACTAACAGTCATTCAGTTGAATGTAACTGTTTGTAGTGATACAGAACTAAAACTGGCTAAGTTGATTGAATCATGCGTTTTGTATGGAGACAATCACGTTTAGTTATACTTTCAGTCAGTCGGCTAATTTGGGACATTTTGACTAAGAGTGATTTTCAGTCAAAATGTCCCTACTTAATCGACTAACAAGTCAGTCAAAAATTTTCCACACTCACCGATACCAAGAACACATTTTATACTCAACATTTCAAATGAAAACTACAAATTTCGTCCGTAAAATTCCTTCTTTAAAATTTATTCACGAAATGAATGAAAATTAAAAGAAAAAACATACATTGTACTCAGATTTTAAGCTGAAATAATACACAAGATTCACCGAAGCTTATTCATCTGTAAAATTGTATGGTATATTCATACCATACATACAAAATCTATCACCTTTCTTAAAATAATAAACTGCAATCAATTTAAATAAAAAAAAACTAAAAAAAACAGAAAACTAGATGGAATTATTTGTGTAACAGGCACCAGGTAATGGAGCCTGACCTTATAAAGTTAAAAAAAAAAAAATACGTAGCGGTTTGCCCCAGAAAAACGTCAATATGTCATGAAAATTAAAATATTTTTGACCCACTCCGGTATGTTGTTTCTCTCATTGAATTCGAAAAATCGCCCGGCTACTGTTGCTCTTGTTGATTGTAGATTTTTGGTTTACAGTTTTGCTTCAGTTTTCAGCAATGGCACCAATTTTTGCGTTAGCATAATGTTGCCGGTAATTTTCAATTTACCCTTCATAAATGCCACTTGAGGATTCAATTTGCCCAATGCAATGTCTACTAGATCGGTATCGGTGACGGAAAGTGTTGTGTCAGCTTTAACACCTTCTTCGGGGCTACCTTCATACACTGAACCTTTTTTCAAATCGAGCGCTGCGGAACGGAAAACACATTGCAATTACGATCCAAATATTGATTTTCACAGAGCCAAATTGGTCTTCTAATCGATAATAATTTATACTTACTCCAATGTTTAACTGGGGCCCCATTGCTTGTCGTCGTTGTAATTTTATACCAAAATACCGCATTGATCTGTTTACCTTTGGCTGGATTTTCGGCAAGACGATCTTTGATTTTATCAAAAATTGCGTCGCTTTTCAGCTCAACTTTATTGGCAACCATTTTTAATTGAACAATTACACGCTAACAACTGAATAAGAAATGAGGAATAAGAATGTAGAAAAAAAAATTAATCACACGTTAGCTGGCAACTTTCGGCTCTTATCTATCATATAAATGAGTAATGCGAAGCTATTAAACTGAGACACAGCGATATCGCTAAACAATATATGTTCGCAGAACAATTGCCGAATTATGACTTGCGGATTTTTCCAAGCTATTTTTTTTTGTGTTCAAATAGTTGCTGTGAAGTACGAACCGTTGTATTTTTAATCGCTTCGATTATAATGGGTATAAACGTTGAATGAATGCAAATCGATTTACAATTTTATTTTCAGTCAAGTGATTCTTATCGTTCGCCTTTTAACCTCTTATACGATTCTTATGCGGATAAAATATATTTTGACACTTCGTTCGAATACCAGGATACGGCATATTCGTCATTCGTACGCATACACTTGCAGGGGAATTTCAAGTGTTGTTGCCACACACACTCGCGCGCACACAAACCAATACAAGTACATACACCAACACACGCATACAATTGGTAATGGCATGAGTTAGCCCGAAAATACGAGCAAATTAAGTTCCTCCAAAATGCACAAAATCAAATAAATCAACATTAGTTCGTGCATATCCAAAGCATTTGAATGGAGAAAATCAACAAAATGGCATTAAATTCGATCAAAAATTGTAAATCTATTGACCCTTCAATTTAATATTTAAGACTCTTTGTCCACACTTATTCAACGGACCTAGCCCGAAAAATCAAAATAAACATATTGTCATTTCGTGAGTGAATCGTTTCGACCAACTCACAATCACTTTGATTTTTCATCGGATGAAATGACACACATGTACGAACAAATACCATCACATTTCTATCCACCTGTGCTACATATACTGCAAACTTTTCCATGCCTCCATAACTATACAGAGAGCTGAAATTTGTTCATTTCGATGATGATGATAAAGGAGAAGAAGAAGAAGAAGAAGAGGAGATGAACAAGAAAAATAAAAACAGACTTGGTGAAATATGCAAGTTTTTCAGGGCGCTGCCAGATATTTGACCATTGCATACATGTAATATATATGAATTATTTGAGCCTAATGATGGACGGATATCATCGTGTCGATTTATCAAAATTGAACGCCATAAATGATAAATAACCATAATATTTGAAAGACGCTTCCAGGGGTGTACAGTACATATATACAATATTTTTTCGGTACAATATTTGTGAAATGGAATTTCACGCACATCGACAAAAGCACACAGAGACCCAACCGAGAGAAACATACACACAGTCGCGCGCAAGCATTAACACACTCATCAATAGGCAGGCAGAGCAAAGAAGTGTCGACAACGACATCGACAATCCGACGGAGAAAAAAGAAACATGGCGAAAATAAAACCTGTGGTAACACTTAATGAATTTAGTCGCAGTAGTTGTACGTCGAGCATTGGAAGTGTGAAATTCTCATTAGAAAAGTTGTCATTTTGTTTTGTTCATCTCTGTTATCGCATTTTATTTCATACACATAGATACCAATATTTCTCAATTCATATTTTTTTTTGTTGATTCGGGTGTTTTTTTAAACTTTCTTTACCGTTTTTCTGGTGGCCACATCGTATCGCGCACACAATATATTACTCTTTTTTTTCATCTCTCTTTTGTGTGTCAATTTGAATTGTTGTCGCATTTTAACGCGTGATAACTAAAAATCAGTTTGAATAACAACCCAACATGCAAAACCGAAATTTCAATTGGACGTCTGTCGTTGTCAAAATGCAAATATCAAGAAAATAAAGGAAAAAAAAAAAAAGAAACGTCGACAGCATAGGAATAAATATTCAGTTATGAGAGTCAAATCAACACAGCTTTAGTGCAATGGAGCAGCAGCAATATTTTTTAAGGAACAAACGAACGAGCGCCTAAAAAACAATTTTCTTGTAAAGTGTGTGTACAACGACGATATTTACAATAATCACAAATGAAACAAAAACAAAAAAACGATCACACGAATGTAACAGAAAAGTGAAAAAAAAAATCGTTGGCGATACCGAGTGCCAATCGTGGTGTTGTGTGTTGTATTTCAGCGCTCAAAAACAATGAGCACGCAGATCAACGACGAGAAAGAGAGAGAGAGAGAGAGAGAGAGAAAAATTTTTGTTTTGTGTACAAATGTATTTTTGGCTACAGTTCGTTTTATTTTCCCTCAAAAATAAACGATGCATTTTTATTTATTCTGTGTGGCGGTGAGAGTAATTCTGGCTGGCGGTGAGAATGTGCGTGTTCTAATTTATGAAATGTGCAATTAAAATTTTTTTTTTCTTAATGAATTTTAAATTAGGAAAAAAGACATATTGAATACATGCACATTTATTGAACGAAACAGCAAAAGAAACAAATCAATGAACGAACGAGAAAAAAATAATAACAAAAATCAACAAGAATCTGCCGAGCGCTGTGGAAAATCATCGCGAAAAACGCGAAAATCCACACATTTGTACAACGTCTATCACGTAATTTGCAAACAATGAACATAAAGTGAACAATATGTAAACATGTGAAATATATATACATATATATTAGATGTTCGACCCAAAACTTGTGTGTATGTATTATTGTTATTATTATTGTGTGACACACAATTCCACACTAGAAAGAATCACCAACAGCAACAGTAAGGCATCAGCAGCGGTAGTAAAAGCGGTAGCAGTTGATACCAGCAATAAGTTCAAGTTATAAGACCAAAAAAAAATATGTATACACGAAACGCATACATTAAAAACAACAAAAAAACGAAAAGAGTAGAAAAAAAAAACACGCAGAAAAAAACAACAGTCAGCGCACGAACGAAAACACTAGGAGAAGAAAAAAGTAAAAATACACACACACACACACATACCGATATACCCATGCTTGCTCGCTCACTCACTCACTCACTCGCTGCTTCGTTCGTTCGTTCGTTCATTCGTTGGCTCGTTTAAACGTCGCGTTGCTGTGAGCACTGTTTTCTATGTGATACAATTTCATATCCAATCACAGCATCTATATGTGTGTGCCAACTGTAGCAACATTATCGATGTTGGACTATATATCTCTCCCTTTTTCTCTCTCGCTCTCTGTGTGTAGCGTAGATGGGCAAACAAAATAGCACAAAACGCTCTCTCGAATAAACGGAAAAAAAATGAAATAAGAAAAGTCAAAACAGATGAAACATGAAGGAGCAAATCTTATTCGGTTTTTAGTTCCCTCTCACCCATCGTTTGCCTCTCGCTATTGAATTGAGCCTAAATTGGCAGGAAAATCAAGCGAATTGGAGAAAAAAAAACTTGAAGCATGAATGAAAGAAAATTTCGCCTTTCATTTGCAAAAGCAACAACAAAAAACAGATTTTTCCTATTGTTGACGTTGTCTGTTTTTATGTTATGATTTTCCTCTCACCTATTCTCTTGCTCTTAATCGATCAATTCATGTTATGTCTAAACGACGCTCGCATAAGAAAGAAATTCCCATTCTATTCCATTGAATTGGAAGCCTGGCTTTGGGGTTTGCATGTCCGAGCAACATTCATTTTGGTACATAAACAATTTTCTATCTCTCTCTCTCTCTCTCTCTCTCTCTCTGTCTCTCTCTGTCACACATACACACACACTCGAACCACCGAAAAAAAAAAACATAAAGAATTTGAAGCTAAAATGTCAATATTATTCTAAAATAAAAGTGTATACTTTATTTGCAGTGTGCCATCTCAAGACGATTTCCGAACAGTGATTGTTTTGTGTGCACAAGTGTTAAATGACGATGTTTAGTAACTATAATGCACGATAATAGACTTAGAAGAAGAAGAAAAAAGAAACAAACATTTGGAAATCGCAGACAAATGCAAAATTCTCTTTCAATAAATCCAATACATTCTGGTTTGACGAGGCTTTACGCGCCTTCGATGTGAATTTAAAAAGGGACAACAAATAAAAGAAACACTACGGACGAAAGAGTCGGTGGGGGAAAAAAAGAGAGAAGAGAATCGTATAACGAAGGAACAGTGTATCAAAACAAGTTTCATCGACGTATGTAAATTTCTGACCAACAAAAGCTCAACAAAGATTTACAAGAGGAACAGAAGAAAACACAACAACAAAAATTGACGGGAAAAAAAAATATAGAAACAAGAAATATTGTCATCATGGCGAACCCGCGAAAATTCAGCGAAAAAATCGCCCTACATAATCAAAAGCAGGCTGAAGAAACGGCCGCATTTGAACGTATCATGCGAGAGGTATCTGATGCAACGTCAAAGGTATGTGTAACTTAATCGTTTTATCAATGAATTTTTGAAATCGTTCATCGATTCCCCTTTTTTGTCGTTCATTTCAACTTTAATTTTAAGAATCCCCATTATTTTTTGTTATTCATTTGTTTTTTATTGACTTATTCCGCTGCCGCTGATAAACACATCTATATAAATATTTGATACACTTAAGCTATTCGCTTGACAGAACAACAACAAAAACATGGCGAATAGAATACGGAAACAATCTTAATCATTTAGAAAACCTCAAAGCGCTAAACTACAACTTTATGATTAGTGAACGTTAATTTGGAATGAATAATAAAATCATGACGGATAATCAACTTCTTTCAAAGTTATTTATATAAATTGTGCTTGACGACTAGCTATGAATACTTCATTTTCCAGAAACGAAAAATCCAACCAAATAATAAATTGACACGATTCGATTTGAAAATCAGCAGGCGGTGTCTCTGTTCCACCATACCGAATAGTCATAATGTATACAAAGAGATTTTCGATTCGTGTTCGCATCGAGTGTCTCACATATGCACATTCGAAATATAATTAGAACATCGACCGTCGTTAAAGAAGAAAAATCGAAGCGGTTAAGAGCAATTGGTGTTTCAATTGTTTTCATGAAAATTGAATTCACTTGTGTATTGGTGTGCTGTCGCTTCGTTCGTCTTTCTTGTTAGAGTGAGATATGTATATATATGAACGTAACAGCTAGCTGTCGCGCTCAAACACACAGACGCTAAATGGCATTCTGAATTTTTCATTTTGGCTGATTCTTATAATTCGCATAAACATGAATTCACAAAGAAAAGTATATATACATTCTGAATGCAGTATATATTAAGCCGACTTATTGGTTTGCGTTCACGCGTATGCCTTTGTCGTTGGCCCCGCACATGCAGTGTGGTTGGTTAATAACCAACTGTGCTGCACGACACATGGTCGGTGCAACATACTGCTCGTTGATGTACACTTCGGTGTACGGAGAGAAGTGGATTACTCATGAGGTGCCACGCAAGTGTATTGGAAAAAACACTTTTTTTCGTCGTCTTCTTCTTCTTTATTTCATTATTTTCCCCGGGATAGACTGTGTCCAGTGGTTGTCTGTGTATGAATTCTTTCGGTCTAACTGAGAGCTATAATATCGTGTATATTTTGAATAATTAATATTTGAAAGGGTTAATTTCCAGTCGTTATTGGATAGGACAAATGCCAAACGGAATGATTTTTATTTTGGCGCACACAAATCCCAAGACGTCTATACGGCGATAACCAACACACAGGCACATGATATGGAGAGAGCGAATGCATGGAGTGGAACCGAGAACGAAATATATGTACATAATATATATATGAGACATATCCTGCAGTCCAAGTCTATCTGCACATAAACATTAATTCGTCAAAATTAGACCGACATATGTGCAAAACGCGCATTCCGAACCGGACGGTTTTCGTGTACACTCCTCAATTTTACAACAAACATTTTATTCTTTTCTTCATTTTTCGTACGCACAACTTGAGACAAAAACACATAAATTCTATACACACACGAATATTACACACGAGCTAATATAGAGCTTTAGAGATGCAACAAATACACAAAAACAACAACAAAAATTACTACCTCGCATTTTCTATAAAGATTGGTAGTTGGCTTGAAGTCACTAAAATTGTTTTGTAAATCATTCGCTCATTATTCGATGGAATTTCAAGTGGCAATGGCTTTGCCGAAACTGTTTAATGTTTCTTTGCGATGCTAACACATGTCAAATGTTTCGCTATGAAATACGGATTTTGATTCAAACTCTTTCTCTCTCTCTCTCTCTCTCTCTCTCTCTCTCTCTCTCTCTCTCTCT